CATGGGAGGCCCTACCAGGGGCATGAAGCCCCAGACAGCATAGCTCCCAGGATCATCCGAGTACTCAAACTCCCCCACCACGTTAAGGTGGCAGTCCAGGGGGGAGGACTGTTTGTAATTCAGGTGTGTAAAATACTTACATTACTCTGCAAGTACAATAAGCCTTGAGCACCTGTCACTACACTGTGCAGCTTCTCTGCACACAGTTGTCGGTGCAGAGAAGCTAGCGGAGCTAGCCGAGTTAGCCACGCTCAATAAACAAATACATATCAATCAATCCACGCCATTAAACGTTAATCGGACAGTACAGTATACATATACATCCTTAACACACATGCACGGACGTTTTCAGAATTTGGTGTTAACGTTTTCATGACAAAATTACTATTTTAATGTGATAAAAAGCGATCGCGAAAAACCCGTTAGTAACCATTAACATGAAATGAACATTTTAGGACACATTTGAGGAGGATCTGATGGATTTAGGTTTGTTATATAAATGGGTAACTCACCGCTGATGTTCAGAATTCTTTGTTCAGTTTTCATGTAGTTCTAGAGTTTTTGAACTAGCTAGCTTAGTTAAAAAACTAAGTTTTGTTCGAATATATATATTTTTTTAATTTTAGAATTACAGTGCCTTGCGAAAGTATTCGGTCCCCTTGAACCTTTCAACATTTTGCCACATTTCAGTCTTCAAACATAAAGATATAAAATTTAAATTTTTTTAAAAAAAATAATTTTTTTGTCATGAATCAACAACAAGTGGGACACAATCGTGAAGTGGAACGAAATTTATTGGATAATTTAAACTTTAAAAAAAAAAAAAAACTGAAAAGTGGGGCGTGCAATATTATTCGGCCCCTTTACTTTCAGTGCAGCCAACTCACTCCAGAAGTTCAGTGAGGATCTTTGAATGATCCAATGTTGTCCTAAATGACTGCTGATGATAAATAGAATGCACCTGTGTGTAATCAAGTCTCCGTATAAATGCACCTGCTCTTTGATAGTCTCAGGGTTCTGTTTAAAGCGCAGAGAGAACCATGAAGACAAAGGAACACACCAGGCAGGTCCGAGATACTGTTGTGGAGAAGTTTAAAGCCGGATTTGGATACAAAAAGATTTCCCAAGCTTTAAACATCTCAAGGAGCACTGTGCAAACAGTATATTGAAATGGAAGGAGTATCAGACCACTGCAAATCTACCAAGACCCGGCCGTCCCTCCAAACTTTCATCTCAAACAAGGAGAAGACTGATCAGAGATGCAGCCAAGAGGCCCATGATCGCTCTGGATGAACTGCAGAGTTTTGGAGGGACGGCCGGGTCTTGGTGGATTTGCAGTGGTCTGATACTCCTTCCATTTCAATATAATTGCTTTAAACTTCTCCACAACAGTATCTCGGACCTGCCTGGTGTGTTCCTTTGTCTTCATGGTTCTCTCTGCGCTTTAAACAGAACCCTGAGACTATCAAAGAGCAGGTGCATTTATACGGAGACTTGATTACACACAGGTGCATTCTATTTATCATCATCAGTCATTTAGGACAACATTGGATCATTCAAAGATCCTCACTGAACTTCTGGAGTGAGTTTGCTGCACTGAAAGTAAAGGGGCCGAATAATATTGCACGCCCCACTTTTCAGTTTTTTATTTGTTAAAAAAGTTTAAATTATCCAACAAATTTCATTCCACTTCACGATTGTGTCCCACTTGTTGTTGATTCATGACAAAAAATAAAATTTGTATATCTTTATGTTTGAAGCCTGAAATGTGGCGAAATGTTGAAAGGTTCAAGGGGGTATATTTGAATTTCGAGGCCGAAGCCCTAGTGTAGAGGCTAGAGGACGCAGGCTGTTCGCTGCTCGTTCTGTGAGTGGAGTAGAATGAGCGTCCCGCTAAGACTCTACTCAGCACTTTTCACGGCAGCAAACTCATACACCTCTGAATCAATTACCTCAAGTTTTCAATTAAATTATAGATTATAATACAACTTGTATGTAGTAATAAGCATAAGGCCTTCTGGTATCTCACACGTTCATAAATGCCCATTCAGTCTGGCATGAATGGAATATACACCAAAAATATACACCCTTTTCTGCGCAACTGAAAAGGGTTGCGCAGAAAACCCTGCGCAACTGATCCTCTGCAGGGGGTGGGTCCACAGGAAGATGGCGTCTTGACGCAGCCTTGTTCTTTCAACAGGGGCTTCAGGCAATGTATTGTTTGATGTTTATTTAGCACATTTTAAGGACCAAGGTCACCCAAAGCACTTTACAATGTTCAGAGTCAGATATTGTTCCAATCATTCCACACACGGTGATGACAGAAGCGAGTCCAGAACACACTGGACCATCAGCCCCCAATCAACACCATCCATTCACTCTCTCATTTACATTCATACCTATTGTGCATGTTTTTAGTGGTAGGGGAAACCGGAGCACCCGGAGGAAATCTACGCAGACACAGGGAGAACATGCAAACTCCACTCAGAAAGGCCCTGTTCCGACCAGGATTAGAACCCAGGACCTTCTTGCTGAGAAGCGAGACTGCTAACCACTCAGTCACCGTGCCGCCCTGGGTTAATGTGGGGTTAAGCGTCTTGCCCAACGACAAAATGGAACGATTTCGTGGTGGGCTCGAACCCATGACGTTCAGGCCCAAAGGCCAATGTTCTACCAACTGAGCTACTGTCACTAAAGTGAAACAGATAATTATGTATTTAAATATTGCGATAATTTGCTCAAACGTGTCTTTAAAGAACTATACCTGATGTATTTTCTAATGAGTTCATAAAAATGTTTATTACTACATACAAGTTGTATTATAATCCGTAACGTAATGTAAAACTTGAGCTCATTGATTCAGCTGTGTATGAATTCAGGCCGTAAAAAGTGCTGAGTAGAGACTTAGCGTGACGCCCGCTCTCCTCCAATCACAGAACGAGGCTGTGTCCTCTAGCCTCTACAGCGCTGCTAAACCATGGATCTATAATAATAACTGGATAGAGTATTACTAGCTTATAGCTGTCCCACCCATAGCCACAGGAGGCGCTGTGGTACTGCAGACTAAATTCACGTGGGCTACCCAGAAAAAGTCCCATAGAACTCAATGTAAACTAAAACAGCTCGACCTCAGCTGACAGAGAACCTACAGCTTTCATAAAGATCAGATTTTGTGTGGATATTAGTGTTTCTTGTCGTCCTGAACTTTTTTTCTTATTAAATCCTTTTGCTTTCTTTAAATCCACACTTTACTGCCACAAACTCTGCTCCTCTCCTTCCCGCTCTGCCACTGTTCTGATCTGATTGGTCAGAGCTCGGCCGAGCCCCTCTGTGCACGTGCATGAGAGCCACACACAAGTATTTGGCCCCATGCGATACTGAGCACAAGCCATTATGCTCAGACTATTTACGCTCGGACTATCTGTGCTCGGACTACGCTCGGAATATTTACGCTCGGACCATCTACGCTCGGACCATCTACGCTCGGACCATCTACGCTCAGACCATCTAGACTCGGACCATCTAGGCTCGGACCATCTAGGCTCGGACCATCTAGGCTCGGACCATCTAGGCTCGGACCATCTAGACTCGGACTATCTAGGCTCGGACTATCTACGCTCGGACCATCTACGCTCGGACCATCTACGCTCGGACTATCTACGCTCGGACCATCTACGCTCGGACCATCTAGACTCGGACCATCTAGGCTCGGACCATCTAGGCTCGGACCATCTAGGTTCGGACCATCTAGGCTCGGACCATCTAGGCTCGGACCATCTAGGCTCGGACCATCTAGACTCGGACTATCTAGGCTCGGACTATCTAGGCTCGGACTCTCTACGCTCGGACCATCTACGCTCGGACCATCTAGACTCGGACCATCTAGGCTCGGACCATCTAGGCTCGGACTATCTACGCTCGGACTACATTTGGACACGAAACTAGCGGTAATCTTTCAGTTATATATTTTGTAAGCAGTGCGTTGCTTTTGTACCATTTCATCAGTGATTGTTGTACGGCTGAAGTTGTGCTAATGCTAATGTTAGCATACGTATCAGATCGCAAATAAAATTAGATGGCTCCGTGGGAGGAGAACGTAGGGGAAATGAGAAGCCTGTGAGCGAGTTGGGAGCGGGGCTAAACAAGATCCAAACTTCGCGATACTGAACAGAACCTGTTTCCACTGGATCAATGAAGAGTTAGTAACGAACAGAAGGAAATATAAACAAAGATTTTTTCTTTTCTCTTTAATAAAACTTGTGTCAACGTTAATAACACTTCAAATATATTATAGTGAATCCCACGTGTTAAAAGCATTACAAAATAGATCTAAGGCGTATCTTATATATACCTATATATATATACATATATATATATGTATATATATATACATATACATACACATATATATATATACACTACCGTTCAAAAGTTTGGGGTCACATTGAAATGTCCTTATTTTTGAAGGAAAAGCACTGTAGATAACTTTAACCTAGTCTTAACTGTAAAGAAATGCACTCTATACATTGCTTATGTGGTAAATGACTATTCTAGCTGCAAATGTCTGGTTTTTGGTGCAATGTTGTAATTGCTGCAAATGGAGGATTCTTTGACGAAAGAAAAGTTGGATGTAAAACAAATCTTTTTTCAAATACAAATCATTATTTCTAACCTTGTCAATGTCTTGACTCTATTTTCTATTCATTTCACAACGTATGATGGTGAATAAATGTGACTTTTCATGGAAAACCCTGGGTGACCCCAAACTTTTGAACGGTAGTGTATGTGCTAGTCTCATATTTCCGCAGAGTTTGTGACAGGAATGTCCTTTGAATCTGGGAATGTCAAAGATCAGGATATAGCACTGTTCTGTCCATGATTTGTGAAAAATACAGTTGTGTCCAGTGTTTGACTCTGCTCCTCCTCCTGCTCCTCCTCATGCTCCTCCTCGTGCTCCTCCTCCTGCTTCAGGAGAAAGTGTCTTCATCAGATGGAGACGCTCAAACCACAGAATCTTCAACACAAACAAACACAAACATGAGTTCCTGTTGCTTTGGCACTTTTAGAAAGTGAAACTATTTCTTAAAGGTAAAGAGGAGGATTTTCTTTTTCCAGGTTTTTCATCAAAACTATTGCTCTTCCTGACTGCCAATCATTCTGCTGACATGTGACTAGAGGCCGTCGCTCGACAGCCAACAATATCTTCTGCCAGAGGGAAGAAGCTGGAACATGGCTTGTCCAGGGGCTGGAAGAGTCGCCTCAGTAAGGCCAGGGTACTGGAGAGGACTCAGGAGGGGCAGTGTGGTTTTGGTCCCGGTCGCGGAACACTGGACCAGCTCTATACTCTCCATTGGATACTCGAGGGTTCATGGTAGTTCTCCCAACCTGTCCACATGTGCTTTGTGGATTTGGAGAAGGAGTTCGACCGTGTTCCCTGGAGTGTCCTTTGGGGGGTTCTCCGGAAGTACGGGGTCCGGGGTCCTCTGCTGAGGACCGTCCGGTCGCTGTATGACCGGAGCCAGAGCTGTGTTTGCATCAGCAGTAAGTCAGACCTGTTCCCGTTGTTGGCCTCCGCCAGGACCACAGCCAGGGGCCGGAGGGGGTCCGGTTCAGAGACCACAGCCAGGGGCCAGAGGGGATTCGGGTTCAGAGACCACAACCAGGGGCTGGAGGGGGTCCGGTTCCGAGACCACAGCCAGGGGCCGGAGGGGGTCCGGTTCAGAGACCACAGCCAGGGGCCGGAGGGGGTCCGGTTCAAGTAGTGGGGGTCAAGTATCTCGGGGTCTTGTTCAGTGAGGGAAGGATGGAAGTGAGTCTGACTCTGGAGTCTGAACAGAACCGATTTTTTCTACTGAACCTGACCCTGTGGACCAGACTCCTTTTTTCTGTGAACCCTGTACCTGTGAACCTGACCCTGTGGACCCTGTACCTGTGAACCTGACCCTGTGGACCAGACTCCTGTACCTGTGAACCTGACCCTGTGGACCCTGTACCTGTGCAGTCTGTGCTGATGTCACTGACACTCTGCTGCAACTGCCGGTACTTCTGCTCCACCTCCTGAAAACACACATACACACACACAGACACACACAGACACACATAGACACACATAGACACACACACACAGACACACACACACACACACACACACACACATTATTGTAAAGCTGTTCCAGATCCACAAATGTGTGTGATGTATGGTTACACAGGGTTGAGAACCGGCCCAAAAGACCAGCCCCAAAGCCTTATGTTTCCACCCCCATACTCCACAGAGGGAATGCTGGGTATGTCGCTCTGTGTTTTTTTAACAGTAGAGTTTTCATAAAAAGGTTCTATTTTGGTGTCATCTGTCCACATCATGTTCTCCCAGGCCTTCTCTGGTTCTTGCAGATGGTCAGGAGAACACTTTAGATGGGCCTGGACCATACCCACTCTGAAGCATTATGTGGTGGGGGGAACCGGAGCGCCCGGAGGAAACCCACCCAGACACAAGGAGAAATATGGAAACTCCACACAGAAACTCCCTTAACTCTCACGGGTAGCTGTTTTGCTCTGTCTCTATTTTCTATCTTTATCTCATTCTCTGTGTTCTATCTCTGCATTTCTGTCTCTGTGTCTGTCTCTCTGTGTCTGTGATTCTGTCTCTATGTCTGTGTCTCTATGTCTGTGTCGCTATGTCTGTGTCTCTCTGTCTGTGTCTCTATGTCTGTCTCTCTATGTCTGTCTCTCTATGTCTGTCTCTCTATGTCTGTCTCTCTATGTCTGTCTCTCTATGTCTGTCTCTGTGTCTCTGTATATTTCTGTGTCTCTCTGTGTCTCTCTGTGCACTTGATTACCTTGAGGTAGTGCAGATCCGCCTGCAGAAGCCGCAGGTGGGTCATGAGCTGTCTGCTGAGGTTGGGTCCAGCGCCCTCTGCCTGTGAGGAGGAGGACAGCAACTTGCTCATGTCGATGCCCACGTCCTCCTCTGGTCCGTCCTCCAGTCCATATTCTGGTGTCTCCTCTGGTGTGTCCTCTGGTCCATAACCTGGTCGGTCCTCTGGTCCATGCTCTGGTCTGTCCTCTAGTCTCTCCTCTGGTGTCTCCTTTGGTCTCTCCTCTGGTCTGTCCTCTGGTCTGTCCTCTGGTCTGTCCTCTGGTCTGTCCTCTGGTCTGTCCTCTGGTCTGTCCTCTGGTCTGTCCTCTGGTCTTTCCTCTGGTCTGTCCTCTGGTCTGTCCTCTGGTCTGTCCTCTGGTCTTTCCTCTGGTCTGTCCTCTGGTCTGTCCTCTGGTCTGTCCTCTGGTCTGTCCTCTGGTGTGTCCTCTGGTGTGTCCTCTGGTGTCTCCTCTGGTGTCTCCTCTGGTGTGTCCTCTGGTGTGTCCTCTGGTGTGTCCTCTGGTGTCTCCTCTGGTGTCTCCTCTGGTGTGTCCTCTGGTGTGTCCTCTGGTGTGTCCTCTGGTGTGTCCTCTGGTCCAAACAAGTCCAGTATTACGAAGCCTGCAGGGACCAGAAAGCATTATCGGTCAATCCAGATTTTTATTTCAGAAATGAAACATGAACAACACAATAAAATAGACTATTCTGACTCACTGAGAACAAACTGTTGCAGATGTGCATTAATGCCGCGTTCAGACCGGATCATGCTGCGTCAGCTTTCAATGCAAAGTCAATGGTGACGCGCGTTCAAAACGCACAAACGTCTCGGAATGCACGCACGGACCGCGCTGGGAAGTCGAAGGGGAGGAACGCAGGAGATACATTTTGCTCAACCTTTCCTCGGGACGTTCGTGCAGCAACCAATCAGAGAGCCGCAAAGCGGTCACGGGGACATAAGTGGTGCGAGCAGACTAAAAATACTGTAAACAGCCAAAACAGGAGGCAAGGCAAGGCAAGGCAAGTTTATTTATATAGCACAATTCATACACAAGGCAATTCAAAGTGCTGAACAAAACAAGAAAGCATTAAAATCATAAATTATCACAGAACATTAAAAAGAAAGATAAAAATATAAATCCCTCAGTTGTATGCACAGTTAAACAGAACTGTCTTTAACCTGGTTTTAAACATTGTCAGAGAGGAGGCCTGTCTCACATCTTCAGGAAGATTGTTCCAGATTTTAGCAGCATGAATCTGAAAAGCAGCCTCCCCATGTTTAGTTCTGACTCTGGGCACTAACAGGAGTCCAGTCCCTGTGCTCCTCAGAGTCCGGGCTGGTTCATATGGGACTAACATGTCACTAATATATTTTGGTGCGAGGCTATGGAGAGACTTGTACACAAGCAGAGCTGTTTTAAAGTCTATTCTCTGAGCCACAGGAAGCCAGTGCAGAGACCTGAGAACTGGACTAATGTGGTCGTACTTCCTGGTTCTAGTCAGGACTCGAGCTGCTGCGTTTTGAATGTACTGCAGCTGTTTTACAGCCTGTTTGGACAGACCTGTGAGCAGGCCATTGCAGTAGTCTAACCTACTGGAGACAAATGCATGGATAAGAATCTCCAGGTCTGCTTTAGACACTATGTTTTTGATCCTGGCAATGTTTTTTAGATGGTAGAAAGCTGCTGATGTTACTGATTTGATGTGGCTATTAAAATTTAAGTCTGAGTCCAGTATTACCCCTAGATTTCTGACCTTGTTTGAAGGTTTTAGGGAGAGAGACTGTAGGTGACAGATGACGCTCTCTCTTTGTTTCTGGGGACCAAAGACAATCATTTCAGTTTTGTCTGCGTTTAGCTGAAGGAAGTTTTTTTGCATCCACTCACTGATCTGTTGGATACAGTGAAGGAGTGAGTCCACTGGTCCATGTTCTCCTGCAGTCAGTGAGACATAGATCTGAGTGTCGTCTGCATAGTTATGATAGGACACTTTGTTTCTGCGTATTAACTGACCTAACGGCAGCATGTAGAGATTGAACAGAAGAGGTCCCAGGATCGACCCCTGTGGGACTCCACAGGTCAGGGCCATATGATCTGAGACACAGTTTCCAATCTCCACAAAGTACTTCCTGTCTTCAAGGTAAGACCTAAACCAACTTAGGGCGGTGCCAGTGACGCCAACCCAGTCTTCTAGTCTCTGTAAGAGGATCTCATGGTCGACGGTGTCAAAGGCAGCACTTAGATCTAACAAGATTAAGATTGAGACTTTGCCTGCGTCAGTGTTCAGCCGGATATCGTTTGTAACCTTAACGAGAGCAGTCTCAGTGCTGTGGTGGGGTCTAAAGCCGGACTGAAACATATCAAATGAGTTGTTGATTATAAGAAATCTAGTAAGCTGTAGGTAGACAACTTTCTCAAGGACTTTCCCCATAAATGGCAGATTTGAGATGGGACGATAGTTGTTAAGTACCGTAGCATCGAGACTGCTCTTTTTTAGCAGGGGCCTGATGACTGCAGTTTTCAGGGCCTTTGGGAATATTCCAGAATGAAGGGACATGTTTACTATCTGTGTGAGTGAAGGTAACAGACTGCTCAGAACAGACTTCAGAAATCTAGTGGGTAGTACATCCAAGCTGCATGTGGAGGAGCTCAAACTGGAGATTATCTCTTGGACAGTTTTATCATTTACAGGTGCAAAGTGAGTTAGCTCAGAGAGCCTTTCTGGCTGTTGGATGGTTATCTGTGGATTGGAGACAATGGCGTTTTTGATGCCTTGAACCTTGTCATTGAAAAAATTAGCAAACCTATTGCATTTACGTTTGGAAGTAAGCTCTAATGGCATTTGAACAGGGGGGTTTGTTAATCTATTAACTGTTGAGAACAGAACACGCAGATTGTTGCTGCAGCCTTCAATCATTTCAGAAAAATACCTTTCTCTCGTACTACGTAGCACCCGGTTAAACTCGCACAACTTATCTTTGAAGATCTCGTAATCTACCTGGAGGTTGGACTTGCGCCACTTCCGCTCGGCCCTCCGGCACTTTCTCTTTTGTGCCCTGACCGAGTCTGCTTTAGCCCACGGCGCCTTCTGCTTATTTTTCACTATTTTAACCTTCACAGGGGCAACGGTATCCAGAACATTCAAAACACTAGAGGTGACAGAGTTAAACAGTTCATCTACAGTAGAATACGATGCATTCTCAAAGTTTATCATTTCCATAAATAGTTCACTCGTATTTTCATTTATGCACCTTCTTCGAACAGTTGCAGAGTCCACTGGTGGTTTGTTAGTGAAACACATGTAAAAAAAAACACAGAAATGATCCGAAAGAGCAACATTGACCACGTTTACATTTGAAATAATCACCCCCTTTGTAACTAACAGGTCTAGAGTGTGCCCTCTGCTGTGGGTGGGGCCACTTACGTGCTGAGTGAGATCAAAGGATTCAAGTACAGAACTCAGCTCATTTGCATTTCTGTCATCAACATTATCCACATGAATATTAAAATCACCTGTAATAACCAAACTATCAAAATCTGTGCATACAACTGAAAGCAACTCTGTAAAATTATCTATAAAACTGTGACATGACTGCGGTGGCTTGTATAGGACAACGAAGAGTATTGGAGGAGATTGTTTTTGTTGTATTTTAAAAGACACATATTCAAATGACGAAAACTTCCCAAGAGACATTCTATGGGAGACAAAGTGGTCTCTAAAAATGGCAGCTAAGCCTCCTCCTTTTTTGTTTTCCCGTATTTCAGATTCAAACTTGAAATTTGGTGGTGATGCTTCTATTAAAACTGCATTTTCTGAATTTTGGTCAAGCCAAGTTTCAGCCATGAACATAAGATCAAGATTATGAGAACAAATAAAATTATTGATTAAAAAAGACTTGTTACAAAGAGATCTGACATAGCAAGTTTCAAAGTTGCAGTATCAGCGGTTGCGGTCGGCTGATTCTTATACGGAACAAGAATTAGATTTTCCAGATTAGACTGATTAACTCCAGATGTTTTTCTGTAATGTATTCTTTGTGTTATCACTAAGGGAATGGCACAGGTGGCTTCATGACAGGGCCCCAGCCGGGTCTCTCCTCTAACTAGACTGCCAGTGGCTGCGAAGCAGAGACCCTGTGCATCCTAGTGTTTAGAGAAAAGAGGGGAAGGGGAAGGCGGGGGAAGAGGATGGAGAGGTGGGTGGCTTTTGGGTGTTGAACGAGGGGGGCAGGGAGGTGGAGGGGTTTTAGGTGATGGGTTAGGGCCGGGGTGGGCTGAGGCAGAGGTTTTGGGTGTTGAACGAGGGGGAAGTGGGGGTGGAATGGTCATGAGGTTAGGGGAGGGACTGGCTGAGGTGGTTTTTGTAGGTGAATTGGAAACCCTAGGTGGTTTCGGAGGTACATATGGGGAGTGGTTTAGCATGTTGGACAGGACTCTAGATCGAGCTAATATGGGTGTGAGAGGAATAGTCTTCATCGCCAATTTTATTAGCCCTGCAGAGTGTTCAGGTAGGTCTAACAGTGAAGGCGGGGATGAAAAACAAAGGGAGGTGTCCCCATTCTCTCTTGATGGAGTGGACGTGGCAGGGGGGACCCAAGACAGGTCCATGGGAGGTGGCGAGGGAGTCTTTGATGGAGCTGCAGGTGGTTGAGGAAACCCCAGCACAGGCCTGTCTGCTGTAGGCTGGGGGCTTCAGAGGCGCTGTAGATGAAGAAGGCGTGGCTGCTTTGGAGCAGGCTGGGGATGAGGATGTTGGTGGTGGTGGTCGTGCTGCTGGTGCTGCTACTGGTGATGATACAGCTGCTGCTGGTGATGATGCAGCTGCTGCTGGTGATGATGAAGCTGCTTCTGATGACAGTGGAGGTGTTGAGATCCTTTGAGGCGGTGATGGTGTTGAGATCCTTTGAGGCGGTGATGGTGTTGAGATCCTTCGAGGTGGTGGTGGTGTTGAGATCCTTCGAGGTGGTGGTGGTGTTGAGATCCTTCGAGGTGGTGGAGGTGCAGAGACTTTTGGAGTTGGCTTCCTCCCTTTCGATGGCTGCACGTGCTGCGCAGGCTGAGGTCTCAGGGCAAAAGAAAGGTTATCCATCAACACTTTTACTCCGTAAGTGTTCAGATGTGGCCCTTTCCCTTCAAAAAGCTCATGCCTATTCCAGAACAGATTAAAATTCTCAATGAAGGCAAGTCCTTTGCGTGAACATTCGTTGAGTAGGAAAGTATTTAGCTGATACAGACGACTGAATTTCATTTGCTTCCCGTCCACATTTGGTAGTGGGCCACTGATAACGATTTTTGTGTCCATTTTAGTAAGTAAGTAAGTTTTTATTTATATACCGCCTTTTCACTGCAGATCTGAGTCTCAAAGCGGTTTACAATTGTTAATTTTTGGGCATTTGTCTCTCACTCCACACAGAGATGGGAGCGGGGTCGCCAGTACAGGAGGCACATGCTAGAACTATTGGACATATTTTTAGTGGTAGGGGAAACCGGAGTACCCGGAGGAAACCTACGCAGACACGGGGAGAACATGCAAACTCCACTCAGAAAGGCCCTGGTCCGACCGGGATTCGAACCCAGGACCTTCTTGCTGAGAGGCGAGAGTGCTATCCACTCAGCCACCGTGCCGCCCAAGGTCATTTAGCAAGGTCGTCCAATAAGAGAGAGTAATCCCGTTTCAACTTTTCACTTGTGTTGTCATAGACGTCTACTGCCCCCACGTGGATCAACAATCTTTTTACCCCGCCGGTCTCAGACAGAAGCCTCGGAGCCAACCGCCTTATCTCATCCACTTTAGCAGAGTGTACTGAGTGAACCTTGAGATTACGCATATTTACATTTCTTATCGCCGAATCCCCGATAAAGAGCGACTCAGCTGCATTTGACCTTGACTGAGACTGAGACTGGGACTGAGAGGCTACTGCTGATTCATCTTCCAAAAGTGGTGAAAAGCGGTTTCTTGTAATTAAAGATTTTTGCTGTGGCATTATGACACTCTTGTTATCATTAGCTTTGCCTTGTTTGGGCTTGGCACCATATGTGTTCCAACAATTGTCTCTGTTGATTTTGGGAAATGAAATAGCGTCATCATAACTTACGTTCTGTCCATTTGGTCCATTTCCTTTCACTGGTATTGTTGTGTTCAGCCCCAATTCTGATTCAAGCACAAACATTCGGTCTTGAAGAAGTTTTAGCTCCTGTTTGAGTGAAAAACAGCCCTCGCAAAGTTTTGTTCTATTTTCCCGTCCTCCCGACATGCTGTCGGTTAGGTAAATTCCACCAGTCTTGTGTTGAAGTTTGTAAAAAGGAGTAATCCGTGTTTTGTGGAATAAAAATGTAAGCAAAAATGATTAAAGGAGATAAAAAAGCAGCAAGCGAGGAGCAGCAAGAGAATGCGACTGCTCTGTCCAGAGCAGGAAGTTCATGGAGCTACATCAGGACTAAACCAGGGTGGACAATGGGGGACATAGTGCTTGTAAACATGTGAGTTTTCATGCTCCCGTGACTTTATGCAAAGTCACTCGAATCGTGAAGCAAACATGTACTGCCAATCTGGAATGCCTGGTCTTGAGCTGCCGCCTTTTTATCTTCCCCGTGAGTTTTCAGTGATATTTTTATGTGCTGTTTACATTCACCCACGTGCAGATTACAAAGTAACTCTACAGGATCTGAGCGAGATCCTTCACAAACATGAGTCTGCTCATCCTAACGCAGTCATTATTGTTGCTGGGGATTTCAATAAATGTAATTTAAAGACTGTACTCCCGAAATTTTACCAACATGTGACTCAAGCTACAAGAGGAGCACATGTTCTGGATCACTGCTACAGTAACGTGAAGGGAGCTTACAGGTCCAGTCTCAGACCTCCTTTTGGAAAGTCTGACCACTCCTCTGTTCTTCTTCTTCCTTCGTATACTCAGAGGAGCAGGGAACATAAACCAACCTCTCGCACTGTGCAGTGTTGGTCTGAGGAGGCTAACATGAAGCTACAAGGTTGTTTTGATGCTACGGACTGGTCTGTGTTTCAGTCAGAGGACGTCAATGAATTCTGTGACGCTGTGTCTGGATACATACGCTTCTGTATTGACTGCTGTGTCCCACAGAAGTTCATTAAAGAACATTTTAGTCAAAACCCTTGGATGAACGTGGAAGTGAAACTGAAACTTCATGAGCGTGCGTTGGCGTTTCAATCAAATGATACAGTTGCTTATAAGCTATCCTGTTACTCATTGAAACGTTCTATTAAATCTGCAAAGCGCAGTTACGGGGACAGGTTAAAGGGTTATTTTGAGGAAGATGACCCTCGGCGCATGTGGAACGGTATTAAAGCCATCACATCGTGGAAACCTAGCGCTGGGAAAATTGCATCTGTCGGCCAAGCTCTGCCAAACGAGCTGAACACGTTCTACTGTCGCTTTGAATCCGCTGATGCCTGTCCTACTGTATTCCCTGAGTGTTTCAATCAAGTTGCCTTCACCGTGACTCAGGAGGAAGTCAGGCGTGTCTTGTCCGGGACCACAGTCCGGAAAGCCCCAGGCCCGGACGGCATCCCTCCTCGTGTCCTGAAACTGTGCTCTGAGCAACTTGCCCCTGTGCTAACAGACATTTTCAACCTGTCGCTAAGGAACTGTACTGTGCCGAACTGCTTTAAAGAGTCGACCATCATTCCAGTTCCTAAGAAAACTCCTGTGACATGCCTGAATGACTATCGTCCTGTGGCCCTCACGTCTGTTCTTATGAAAACTTTTGAGCGGCTTGTGCTGGACTTCATTAAGAGCCAGATCCCTGTGAGTGTTGACCCGCTTCAGTTTGCTTACAGACAGAACAGGAGTGTGGAGGATGCCATCTCCTTTGCTCTGAACTCTGTCTACAGTCACTTGGACACTAGTAAATCTGTCGCGAGAATGCTTTTCATCGATTATAGCTCTGTTTTTAACTGCCTTGTCCCAGGTAAACTGATTGAAAAGTCTCTCGGTTTAAGTGTTGCCATGTGTAAATGGATTTTTAGCTTTTTAACTGACAGATCTCAGAGAGTGAAAATCAATGACTGTTTTTCTGATGTTGTTTCTGTGAGCACTGGTTCTCCTCAGGGATGTATTTGAGTCCTTTGCTTTTTACTTTGTACACTCATGATTGTGTGTCCTCCTCTGACTCAAACTTGATCATCAAATATGCTGATGACACCACCATCATCGGTCTCATCAGTGACAATGATGAATCCTCTTATAGAGCAGAGATACAAAATGTGGTTCAGTGGAGTAAAACTAACAACCTCCAGTTGAACGCATCGAAAACATGTGAACTGGTCTACGACTTCAGTCGCAATAGTTCTCATTTGCCTGTCGTAATCGACAACTCCCAGGTGCAGATCGTAGAGGAGTGCAAGTTTCTGGGTTTAACTCTGTCTAACGACCTGAAATGGGTTAAAAACACTGACAGAGTCGTTAAGAAAGCTCGTCAGCGTCTCTACTTTCTGCATAAACTTAGATAATTTACCACTAACTCTAAGATTGTGCTTAACTTTTATCGCTGCACCATTGAGAGTTTACTTGTTGGTTCTGTGTCTGTGTGGTTTGGAAACATCACAGATAAAGAAAAGAGAGCTTTAAACAAGGTGCTCCGCTCTGCAAAGAGGACCGTGGGCTGTGAGCTTCCTGTTCTGGAGGTTCTTTATAAATCCAGACTTTTAAACAAAGCTCTTAGGATTGTCAATGACTCTTCTGGCCACCCTGGGAAAGCCATGTTCCAGCTTCTTCCCTCTGGCAGAAGATATCGCTCTCTGAGATGCAGGACATCTCGTTACGCTAACAGTTTTTATCCACAAGCTGTTATCAGTGTGAACAGAGCACTTTAATGATTTGCACTTGTTTTGAAACTGTTTTAGTCGATCGATTTCACAGTGACATTTGTTTACTGTTTTTGTTGTTTTATGTCTGTATTTGTCTGTGCACACTGGAGACGTTTTGCTATTGTATTCCAATGTGGTTTTTTTACTCCAAATGGCAAATAAACTGAATCTGAATCTGCTGTTGTATAAAGTCACTTCCGTGAACACATACTGCTGTTTTATAAAGTCACTTCCGTGAACACATACTGCTGTTAAATAAAGTCTATGGAAGGTCTCTGAACACAGAAACGCTGCAAAGCTGCATTATTGGAGAAGAACTGTACACATGAAGCCGCTAGCTAAACTCTGTTAGCATCAGAGCCCGCCGGCTACTTCCGGCGCGTGCCAGGACCTCTGGTCTGAAGACCCCTGCGTCTGAAAACTAGAGAACGTGCGTTTCAGCGTTGCTGGTCTGAAAGCACCATAACGGATCAATACGAGAAAAGCAGTCGCGGACGGGGATCAGAATCACCGCTGAGATCAATTCACAAAACTCTCCAATCCTCACATTTCACCACATCTCACCGTTAATGTGGCAGTGCTCCTCTGGATGTGCTCCTCTGCTCTGGGCCCACACCACAGTGGGCTCTTCTGGGCTCCCAGGGCTCTCAGGGCTCTCAGGGCCTCCAGGGGCCCCTGTGCATGAGTCCTGAGTGTGGGGGCCTGAGGAGGAGTGGTCTCTGTACAGCTCTGTGGGTGAGTCCTCTGGAGCCTCTCTGTCCTGGGACACTCTGAGCATGTGGTCCAACAACAGCTGCTTTAGCAGCGACACTGCGACACACACACACGCACACACAGACAGACACACACACACATGCAAACACAGACAAACAGACACACACATGTACGCACAAACACACACATGCAAAACATATTACAAGACATCACTAGAACTCGCTCACAGTGTTTACACACGGACTGTGACGTCAGACACAGAACGGTCCAGAGCAGATCCATGTCTCACACGTCATTTATAATATATTTAAAACATCATTTATAATTTATTTAAAACGTCATTTATAGTATATTTATAATATATTTAAAATGTAATTGATATTATACTTAAACAGGACTTAGACATTTATCCAGTTTGAAACTCATTTGATCAAACTCACGTGTGCGCAGAGCCTCCGCAGCTTTAGACGTATTTATTTTCAGCTCATGTGTGCTGTGCTCCTGGTCCTCCTGGTGCTCCTGGTACTTCTGGTGCTCCTGGTACTTCTGGTGCTCCTGGTGCTCCTGGTACTTCTGGTGCTCCTGGTACTCCTGGTGCTCCTGGTCCAGGCGCTCTGCTAACTGACCGTCCAGGAAAGCCTCCAGCTTAGCCTCATCCACCTCCTGGTTCCTGTGCTCCTCCTGGTCCCTGTGCTCCTTCTGGTCCCTGTGCTCCTCTTGGTCCCTCACAGAGTCAGGACTGCAGCTCTCCTCACAGGGCGTCTCTGCGAGAATCAAAGAACAGAAAACTAAGAACACAAGAAGAAAAGCGGTGGATCCTGTGGATGTGACACTGAGACATCCTGATCCTGTGGATGTGACACAGAGGCGTCCTGATCCTGTGGATGGGACACAGAGGCGTCCTGATCCTGTGGATGGGACACAGAGACGTCCTGATCCTGTGGATGTGACACAGAGACGTCCCGATCCTGTGGATGTGACAGAGACGTCCTGATGTTTCCAGAATACTGGACATGATTCATTCATTCATTGATTTTCAACCCCTTTAAGAGTGAGAGCAGTTGGAGTAGGTCCCATGGTGGGCTCAAACCCATGACCTCCTGGCTCAAACTGAGCCTCTGTCGTAAGTGTAGTGTCCATTTGAAATAAACAGATGAATTAATATAAAATCATGTCCAAAATCATGTGTTTTATATTTATTCATCTGTTTATTTCAAATGGACACAACACTTACACTGTCTGTTATATAGTGTTATATATCTTTAATGTTATATCTTTAGTGTTATATATTTAGTGTTATATATTTAGTGTTATATACTGTATATCTAGTAGTGGACTGCCACCTTAACGTGGTGGGGGAGTTTGAGTACTCGGATGATCCTGGGAGCTATGTTGTCTGAAGCCCCAGGTAGGGTCTCCCATGGTACACAGGTCTTTATGCCGGCCAGACCTGGCTGAGGTCACCAAGCTGGTTGGCAGCCTCCTTGGTGGCAAGGTGCCGGGAGTGGATGAGATCCGTCCTGACTATTCAGATTCATGCTGCTAAAATCTGGAACAGTCTTCCTGAAGATGTGAGACAGGCCTCCTCTCTGACAATGTTTAAGACAAGGTTGAAAACAGTTCTGTTTAGCTGTGCATACAACTAAGGGATTTTATATTTTTATCTTTTTTTTTAATGTACTGTGATTATTTATGATTTTAATGCTTTCTTGTTCTGTTCAGCACTTTGAATTGCCTTGTGTATGAATTGTGCTATATAAATAAACTTGCCTTGCCTTGCCTACTATCTAAAGTCTCTGGATGTTGTAGGACTGTCTTGGCTGACACGTCTCTGCAACATGATCGGGGGGCGGTGCCGATGGAGTGGCAGACCGGGATGGTGGTTCCTCGCTACAAGAAGGGGGACCGGAGGGTGTGTTCCAATTATCGTGGGATCGCACTCCTCAGCCTCCCCGGTAAGGTCTACTCCAAGGTACTGGAGAGGAGGCTACGACCGATGGTTGAATCTCGGATTCAGAAGGAGCAGTGTGGTTTTCGTCCCGGCTGCGGAACACTGGACCAGCTCTATACTCTCCATCGGATACTCGAGGATTCATGGGAGTACGGCCAACCTGTCCACATGTGCTTTGTGTTATTTGGAGAAGGCGTTCGACCGTGTTCATCGGGGTGGCCTTTGGGGGGGGTTCTCCGGGAGTACAGGGTCCGGGGTCCTCTGCTGAGGGCTGTCCGGTCCCTGTATGACTGGAGTCAGAGCTGCGTTCGCATCTGCAGTAAGTCAGACCTGTTCCCGGTGCATGTTGGCCTCCACCAGGGCTGCCCTTTGTCACCGGTTCTGTTTACTGTGTTCAAAAAGGTGCCTTGCCCTCTCCAGGTCCTGGTCCTCTCCAGGTGGAGTGGTCTTCTCTCAAGTGGATGAGTTAAAGTATCTCGGGGTCTTGTTCACGAGTGAGGGAAGGATGGAGCGTGCGATTGACAGGCGAATCGGTGAAGCGTGTATCAGACCGTTGTGTTGACCGTTGTGTTGAAGAGGGAGCAGCGTCTGCAGTCAGAGCTGTATCGGACCGTTGTGGTGAAGAGGGAGCTGAGCCGAAAGGCAAAGCTCTCGATTTACCGGTCAATCTTCGTTCCCTCCCTCACCTATGATCATGAGATTTGGGTAATGCCAAGCGGTCGAAATGAGCTTCCTCCACAGAGTGGCTGAGCGCTCCCTTAGAGATAGGGTGAGGAGCTCAGTCACACGGGAGGAGCTTGGAGAAGAGCTGCTCTTCTCCACATCGAGAGGAACCAGTTGAGGTGACTCGGGCATCTGTTCCGGATGCCTCCCTGGGGAGGTGTTCCGGGCACGTGCCACCGGGAGGAGACCCCGGGGAAGACCCAGGACACGCTGGAGGGACTATGTCTCTCAGCTGGCCTGGAAACGCCTTGGGGTCCCCCCGGACGAGCTGGAGGAAGTGTGTGAGAAGGAAGTCTGGGCGTCTCTGCTTAGACTGCTGCCCCCGCGACCCGGCAACGGATGAAGCGGAAGAAAATGGATGGATGGATATTTATTTAGTGTTATAGCAAGGCCATTTTCAACACTTTTTTCAAACGATGGTATGTACTGTACATAACTTATAAAATACCCAGCACAGTAATGTAGCGATGTACCTGCACTGTTTAGGTCTGTGTGTGTTTTGCTCACCCGCGTCACTTTGTTTACTGGTTGTGTGGGGTGAGTTAGTGAGGTTAGCGCACAGCAGCCAGAGCACTTGCTGTTACCACAATGTGTATAATCACAGAGATGAAGCTTTGAGCAAGTTCACCCTGGTAGACCTGGCCTGCTGCCCAGCGCCTCCAGAGATGCTCTCACTTCCAGTCAACCAATAACCGCCAGGCCAGCAAGTTAAAAGCCGGAGACGCCCAATTCCCGGCCTTCTCAAGCTTTGCATCCTCCGCCGCCCCACCTCCTCCTTCTCCCATTTCGAGCGTGCTTGCCTGCTGCCTCTGCCGCCACCAGTGCCTAGGCCCTGGGGGGGATTATGCGCGCGAGCAAGCGCCGCGCTCATTTTGGTCCGCGCTGACATGTGTGAGAGCAGGCACGCATTGCGCAGGCGCACTCGGTGCTAGGCATGCTGGGTAGTGTAGTCTTTGGGGTGGTTTGAAGCGGCTACACAGGGAAATGCGCGATTGTGTGTTTATTTGCAGAAGTAATGTTTATTTTGTATTGAATGTAAATAACCACAAAATGTTTAGCACATGACAATGTTTAGTTTAGTGGCAAACAATTTAAAGGGACAATTAGTGGTCATTTTTTACTTTTACAGGTTTATTACCTGTGGTCAAACATTTATTGAAATAAAGTAAGAAAATATGACAAACACAAGTCATACCATATGTGCTGCCTGCCGCTAGCCCATTCGGAGGGCTATAACATGAAAAGTCCGAACACTGCCTGAGAACGGGGCCTCCTCCCTGCCTGAGCACGGGGCCTCCTCCTCCTCCCTGCCTGAGCACAGGGCCTCCTCCTCCTCCCTACCTGAGCACGGGGCCTCCTCCCTGCCTGAGCACGGGGCCTCCTCCTCCTCCCTTCCTGAGCATGGGGCCTCTTCCTGGTCCGTGAGGGAGGCCTCAGCGCTCCTTTCCAGTTGGGTGCAGATGATCTCGGTGGCTTTGCGCTCATCCCTGAAACAGACACAGCTCGTTCTCAATCACGTTTCCTTTAAAATGAAGGAGAAGAAGAAAAGCACTCACTCGGACACGCCGCCCGCCCTGTGCAGCCGCGCCTTCATGGAGTCTGCACACTGCGTGATCAGACGCTGCCACCTGCAGGACACACACGGTACTTTCACTTTCACACGCTGAACGTGAGGTCACTGGAACAATAGTTGATGCAGATGTGTTGATGCAGAGATGTGTTGATGCAGAGATGTGTTGATGCAGAGAAGTGTTGATGCAGATGTGTTGATGCAGAGAAGTGTTGATGCAGATGTGTTGATGCAGAGAAGTGTTGATGCAGATGTGTTGATGCAGAGAAGTGTTGATGCAGAGATGTGTTGATGCAGATGTGTTGATGTAGAGATGTGTTGATGCAGATGTGTTGATGCAGAGATGTGTTGATGCAGATGTGTTGATGTAGAGATGTGTTGATGCAGAGATGTGTTGATAAGCTAGCTACAGAACGTGGACCAGTGGCCGCTGAACGTGGACAGGTCCGGTGCAGGACTGAAGCACTCCCAGGCGGGTCGGGAAGGGCAGTCCGCAGGTAATGCAGATGTTTTGATGCAGATGCGTTGATGCAGATGCGTTGATGCAGAGATGTGTTACAATACAATACAATACAATTTATTCTTGTCTAGCCTTAGGTCACAACAGAAGTCATCTCAGAGGACTTAACAAAACCATTGAAATCACCAACACAGGTCAGAGAATTTACAGTTAAAACACATGAAAAATATAAAGCACACATAGAAGAAAATGTCCATACATGTTGTAGAATGCTAAAGTGTCCTGATGATCAACAATCCTTTCTGTTGGACACTAACTGTCCAACAAGACCCTCCTGCATCGACAAGGAAAAACTCTTAAAAAACCCAGTGGGAAAAAGTGAGAAACCTTGGGGAGAACTAGGGAAACCCACAGGGAGGGAGACCCATTTGAGAAAGGGATCCGCTCCTCCGGACGGACAGGCTAATGATCTAATGTGTTGATGCAGAGATGTGTTGATGCAGAGATGTGTTGATGCAGAGATGTGTTGATGCAGATGCGTTAATGCAGATGTGTTGATGCAGAGATGTGTTGATGCAGATGTGTTGATGCAGATGTGTTGATGCAGATGTGTTGATGCAGATGTGTTGATGCAGAGATGTGTTGATGCAGATGTGTTGATGTAGAGATGTGTTGATGCAGATGTGTTGATGCAGAGATGTGTTGATGCAGATGTGTTGATGCAGAGATGTGTTGATGCAGTGATGTGTTGATGCAGAGATGTGTTGATGCAGATGTGGTGCAGGACTCACGTGTGCTGCTCAGAGATGGTGGGGGCTGTCAGCTCGTAGATCTGAGCCACGTTATCAGACATGGACAGGACGAAGAAGGAGCGGTGGTCTGAGCACAACACACTCATCATCACAACACACTCATCATCACAACACACTCATCATCACACGAGATATAGAGAGCAGAACAAACTACTACGAGTGAGTTAGTGACTGATGCAGAGTGAGTTAGTGACTGATGCAGAGTGAGTTAGTGACTGATGCAGAGTGAGTTGGTGGCTGATGCAGAGTGAGTTAGTGGCTGATGCAGAGTGAGTTGGTGACTGATGCAGAGTGAGTTAGTGGCTGATGCAGAGTGAGTTAGTGGCTGATGCAGAGTGAGTTGGTGACTGATGCAGAGTGATTTAGTGACTGATGCAGAGTGAGTTAGTGGCTGATGCAGAGTGAGTTAGTGGCTGATGCAGAGTGAGTTAGTGGCTGATGCAGAGTGAGTTGGTGACTGATGCAGAGTGAGTTAGTGACTGATGCAGAGTGAGTTAGTGGCTGATGCAGAGTGAGTTAGTGGCTGATGCAGAGTGAGTTGGTGACTGATGCAGAGTGATTTAGTGACTGATGCAGAGTGAGTTAGTGGCTGATGCAGAGTGAGTTAGTGGCTGATGCAGAGTGAGTTAGTGGCTGATGCAGAGTGAGTTGGTGACTGATGCAGAGTGAGTTAGTGACTGATGCAGAGTAAGGTAGTGACTGATGCAGAATGAGTAAGGGACTGATGCAGAGTGAATAAGTGACTGATGCAGAGTGAGTTAGTCACTGATGCAGAGTGAGTGACTGACCCGTGGCCACAGGCCGCACCAGCACCGTGCTCAGCTTGATGACGGGACTGAACACGTGTTTGGAGTCGGCGCCACTCGTCAGGTTCTTCCCGTGGAGCTTCAGGACCAGGCGCTCGTCCTGTCTCTGCAGAAGGACAAGGACGTCCTCCAGGAGCAGCGTGTACATGTCTGTGGAGGAGACAGGTCACGGCCGGTCTACATGTATGTGGAGGAGACAGGTCACGGCTGGTCTACATGTATGTGGAGGAGACAGGTCATGGTTGGTCTACATCACATGTGTCAAAGTCAAGGCCCGCGGGCCAAATCCGGCCCGCGAATTAATTATCTATGGCCCCCGGGACATTGCCTGCCATTGAGGCAATGTATTGACCCCTTAATACTCCCGCCGGCGGGAGCAAGCGAGGAAAAAATACATCTGCTGGCAATAGCAGATGTATTTTGAACTTCATAAGCCACAAGCTATATATCATTTTAAAGCTATATTTATATGTAAGTGTAAACGATATCAGACTTTGCATTAAAAAGATATAACGCATAATATGAGCACAAAATAAATCACGTCTGTATTTGTTTTTTACCTTTCGTCTTCTGCTGCTCCAACAAATTAGACTTTCCCCGACCTTGCTTAGTCTCTTTCTCTCCGTAACTGTTCATTGAAGAAGAATATCCACTTGTATTTCCCAAAGTATAATCCATTCTTCAGATTTAACCAAAAAACGCCCCGAAAAGAGGTCCAGACTGCTCTTTTACATTTCACCAAGTTTGAGCTTTTCCTTTTTGTACTATTTTCATGTTCTCAGATGTCTATTACATCTAATATGTACAGTATGAGGATTGGCTTTGGAGCATATTTTATCGAGCCAACAGGTGTCACCGGCACTGCCTCTGGATGTTGAGAAACATTGAACCAGTCCGGCCCTCGGCGCGTAGCAAACATTTTTTTTTGGCCCTCTGATGTATTTGACTTTGACATGCCTGGTCTACATGTATGTGCAGGAGACAGGTCATGGCTGGTCTACATGTATGTGCAGGAGACAGGTCATGGCTGGTCTACATGTTTGTGCAGAAGACAGGTCATGGCTGGTCTACATGTATGTGCAGGAGACAGGTCATGGTTGGTCTACATGTATGTGGAGGAGCACGGGTCATGGCTGGTTTACATGTATGTGCAGGAGACAGGTCATGGCTGGTCTACATGTATGTGCAGGAGACAGGTCATGGCTGGTCTACATGTATGTGGAGGAGCACGGGTCATGGCTGGTCTACATGTATGTGCAGGAGACAGGTCATGGCTGGTCTACATGTATGTGCAGGAGACAGGTCATGGCTGGTCTACATGTATGTGCAGGAGACAGGTCATGGCACAAACCCAAAGCCCCCCCCTGTGCTGATGACCACAAGCTAGCTGACGATCTGAACTTATTTTTCAGTCGCTTTGATGCTGCCCCTGACACCTCTCCCTCCCCCACCCCCCACTACTCTAACGACCCACCCATCAGCCCTGCCCCCAGCCTAACAATAGCCGCTAAAGAGATTAAACAACTCTTCCTGAGGCTGCACCCCCGCAAAGCTCCTGGCCCGGACCACGTGTCTCCGGCCACTCTGAGACACTGCGCCAGTGAGCTTACTCCTGTGTTCACGGACATTTTCAACTCCTCTCTGCAGTCCTGCCATGTCCCGGCCTGCTTCAAATCCTCCATCATTGTCCCCGTCCCGAAGAAGCCCAGGATCACAGGACTCAATGACTACAGACCTGTAGCACTTACGTCTGTCGTCATGAAGTCATTTGAACGCCTGGTTCTCTCCCATCTCAAGTCCCTCACCTCCCCCCTCCTGGACCCCCTGCAGTTCGCCTACAGAGCCAACAGATCTGTAGACGACGCCATTAACCTGGCCCTCCACCACATCCTACAGCACCTGGACTCCCCGGGGACCTACGCCAGGGTCCTGTTCGTGGACTTCAGCTCTGCCTTCAACACAATCCTGCCATCCCTGCTCCAGGACAAGCTCTCCCAGCTCAACGTGCCCGATTCCACCTGCAGGTGGATCACTGACTTCCTGACGGACAGGAAGCAGCGAGTGCGTCTGGGGAAGAATGTCTCGGACTCTCGGATTATAAATACAGGAGCCCCACAGGGCTGTGTTCTTTCTCCCCTGCTCTTCTCCCTGTACACCAACCACTGCACCTCCAGCCACGACTCCGTGAAGCTGATCAAGTTCGCGGACGACACCACCCTCATTGGACTCATCTCCAACAACGATGAGTCCGCCTACAGGAGGGAGGTGGACCGGCTGGTGTCCTGGTGCAGTGGTAACAACCTGGAGCTGAACGCCCAGAAGACAGTGGAGATGATTGTGGACTTCAGGAAGAGCACTGGCCCCCCACCCCCACCCTCCGTGATGGACTCCCCCATCACCTCTGTGGAGTCCTTCCGTTTCCTGGGCACCACCATCACCAAGGACCTCAAGTGGGAGCCGACCATCAGCTCCCTCATCAAGAAGGCCCAGCAGAGGATGTACTTCCTGCGGCAGCTCAGGAAAGCCAAGCTGCCTGCACAGATGTTGGTGCAGTTCTACACGGCCATCATCGAGTCCATCCTCACCTCCTCCATCACCGTGTGGTTCGCTGGAGCCACAGTCAGGGACAAACAGAGACTACAGCGCATTGTGCGCTCTGCAGAGGAAGTGATCGGCCGCAGCCTTCCATCGCTGCAGGACCTGTACGTCGCCCGAGCTCGAGGCCGGGCTGGTCGTATCACAGCCGACCCCTCTCACCCTGCACATGGACTATTCCAACCACTCCCCTCAGGCAGGAGGCTGCGGTCCATCAGGACTAGAACCTCCCGCCACAAGAACAGTTTCTTCCCCTCTGCTGTTGGACTCTTGAACACTTCTTAACCTGTCCCCCCGCCCTTTATAAAGTCACTTTACTGCCCATCATACGTCACTTTACTTCACTGTACTGCTGTCACCTTACATTGTGTGCACCATGTGCACTTGTATATTGTAAATAGTAACTGTAACTCTATTTTAAATTTAAAATTTATTCTTTAGAAGTGTTTTTTATTCTTATTTTTATTATCTCTTTTTGACTGTTGCACTGAGCCAAAGCAATTTCCAAGTCTGTGACCTCCCGTTACTTACGTTGGCAATAAAAATGATTCTGATCTGATTCTGATGGCTGGTCTACATGTATGTGCAGGAGACAGGTCATGGCTGGTCTACATGTATGTGCAGGAGACAGGTCATGGCTGGTCTACATGTATGTGCAGGAGCACAGGTCATGGCTGGTCTAGGACAGAGTGGATAGTTCTGGTTGTAGCCCAGCTGAAGATACAAACATCTGCCATAAAATGCAGGTTCCTTGGTTTCATAGAGACATTTACAAGATGAGAAACACTCACTGCTGTAGTTTTGTGAAATGTTTTGTCAGACTCACTATTGCTGGTTGCAACCATGTGACCAAAAAGGGGCGTGGGATGGGGCTGTTGGACAGGAAGTATTTTTCTTCTTTTAAAGAGAGGGCGATGCAGGAAAATGCACACAGGATCTTTTTGTGGCTTAATATCACTCTTATTATGAGTGAAAGCTATTTTCAATGCAGCGTACGCCGTGTACAGTTTGAATGAGTCCAAGCTTACCGAGACGACAGTGGAGTCTGGTATCAACAGAACCACGTCTGAGATGATAGTTCTGATCAGTAATACAATACACAACAAATGTTACTTTTAACAACATTTGAGGTAGAAATATGACCCTTTATTGTCATTTTGGTGATTTGTTGAGCTGTAAATCACAAAAAGTTTGGACTTATTCTCCAGGGGGAGCTCCGTAGCGTTAAGCTAACAGCAGTACGCTAATAGCGAGGGCTGTAACGAACGCAGCCGTCCTGGGGCACAGAGCTCGGATACAACTTCAGACATTACCCTGGACCTCACAGTCCCGGACCCCGGTCCTCACAGTCCCAGACTGTGAGACCTAGAATAATACTGCATTGTATCTATGAAAGTCAGCAAAGTAAAGACTGTCAGCTGTGTCTGCTGCCGCAGATGCTACGCAGGCTAATGCTAATGCTAATGCATTTTTTCCGTTTCTTATTAGGCATTTTTCTTCAAATCAACACCCGTTAGAGATGTTTTTATTTTTTTTTTTATTGAGACTCCATAAGTTCCACTTGATATGAGCAGTTTCCACAACAACACGCCACATAAAAATAATATTTTGACTGAATTTTTACATTGTTCTTAACGTCCCTTCGTGTCCCTCGGAGCGCTCTCGCGCCGCTGCGTGACGTCAGGTGCAGCCCAGCAATAGGAAGCTCTCAAATCCCACTTTATGATAAAGACAAGATTCTAAATGGATCCGCACGTCACCAGAACAAACAGAAGAAATGTACCAATAGCTTTGTCTTTGGTGAGTTTCCAGGACAGGGGCCCCTCGTGGACCAGCTTCTTCTGGGCCAGGTCCAGGTTCTGTGGCAGAAAAGAACCAAGCATCAGAAGTCCTTATGCATACAGGTGCATAGAGCTGCATACAGGTGAAAATACAGGTGCATACACACCTGTATGCAGGTGTATATGTGCATATACAGGTAAATACAGGTGCATATACAGTACACGTGCATACAGGTGCATATATATGTGCATACACACGTGCATACAGGTGCATATACACGTGCATACATGTGCATATACAGGTGCACATGGGTGCATACAGGTGCCTATACAGGTGCATAAAGGTGCCTATACAGGTGCATACAGGCGCCCATACAATGTGCATATACAGGTGCATACATGTGCATATACAGGTGAATACAGGTGCATATACAGGTGTATACATGTGCATATACAGGTGTATACATGTGCATATACAGGTGTATACATGTGCATATACAGGTGTATACATGTGCATATACAGGTGCACGTGTTTGGGTCAGAGGAGAGCCACACCTTAACTTCCAGCACCACTGGGTTCTCCTGGGGTTTCAGAGACGACAGGTCTAGTCTCCTCTGGTACTCCTTCAGCCTCTGAACAGTACAGTATAATATAGTAAAGTATAGTACTGTATAGTATAGTACAGGATGGTATAGTATAGTATAGTACAGTATGGTATGTTTTGTATACTATACTATAGCATAGTACAGCACAGTATAGTATAGTGCAGTACAGTATGGTACAGTATAGTACAGTATGGTACAGTATAGTACAGTATGGTACAGAATAGTACAGTATAGTACAGTATAGTGTAGTACAGTATAATACAATATAGTACAGTATGATATAGTATAGTACAGTACACTACAGTACTGAATAGTACTGTAGAATAGTATAGTACAATATAGTGTAGTACAGTATAATACAGTATAGTACAGTATGGTATAGTATTGTACAGTATAGTATAGTACAGTAAAGTACAGTATGGTACAGAATAGTACAGTATAGTGTAGTATAATATAATACAGTATAGTACAGTACAGTACAGTATGGTACAGTATAGTACAGCATGGTGGAGTATACTGTGTCCATGATGCAGCTGAGGCTCTGACCTGTGTGTTCTCGGCCTCCTTCACTGATTGGTTGATGTGGTTCAGGATCTTCTTACAGCCCTCAGAGGCTTTCTTCACTCTCCTCCTCTCCTCCACGTCATCTGTCAGTCACACACTCCCTTATATCACAAATATATGCATATATATACTGTATATATCCATATATATATTATTAGTTACCAGCGGGTTAGTTACCAGTGCTTAGTTACCAGTGGGTTAGTTACCAGTGGTCAGTCACCAGTGGGTTAGTCACCAGTGGTTAGTTACCAGTAGGTTAGTTACCAGTAGGTTAGTTACCAGTGCTTAGTTACCAGTGGGTTAGTTACCAGTAGGTTAGTTACCAGTAGGTTAGTTACCAGCTGGTTAGTTACCAGTGGGTTAGTTACAAGTTGTTAGTTACCAGTGGTTAGTTACCAGTGGGTTAGTTACCAGTGGGTTAGTTACCAGTGTACTTGGCTATGTTGTCCAGCAGCAGGGGGTACTTGGTGAGCCTCTGCATCTCCACAGGGATGATGTCTTTGAGCTGCAGCCTCCGACACAAACGGTGACTCTCCGCCTCCTGCAGGGGTCAGGAGTTAGAGAGAGAGAGAGCAGCGATCTGCATTATGGATGGTGAGAGACAGGGGTAAGAGGTCAGGGGTCAGAGGTTAGAGCAAGACAGGGGTCAGAGGTCAGATATAGAGGGGTCATAGGTCAGGGGTCAGAGAGAGAGAGAGAGCAGCAATCTGCATCATGGATGGTGAGAGACAGGGTCAGAGGTTAGGGGTCAGAGCAAGAGAAGGGTCAGGCATCAGAGGTCAGAGGAGTCAGAGCGAGAGAAGGGTCAGTGAGTGACAGGTGAGTGACACGTGAGAGACTGGTGAGAGACAGGTGAGTGACAGGTAAGAGACAAGTGAGAGAAAAGTGAAAGACGGGTAAGAGACAGGTGAGAGACAGGTGAAAGACAGGTGAGAGACAGGTGAAAGACAGGTGAGAGACAGGTGAGTGACAGGTGAGTGACAGGTGAGAGACAGGTGAGAGACAGGTGAGAGAAAGGTGAAAGACAGGTGAAAGACATGTGAGAGACAGGTGAGTGACAGGTGAGAGACAGGTGAGAAGTGAGAGACAGGTGAGAAGTGAGAGACAGGTGAGAAGTGAGAGACAGGTGAGTGACAGGTGAGAGACAGGTGAGAGACAGGTGAGAGACAGGTGAGAGACAGGTGAGAGACAGGTGATTGACAGGTGAGTGACAGTTGATTGACAGGTGAGTGACAGGTGAGTGGCAGGTGATTGACAGGTGTGTTCTGACCTGCATGAACGTAGCGAACCTCTGGTCTTTCTTCTGCCTGGTCTTGATGAGCTCCAGAGCTGAGGGCAGGTTCGAGCAGAAGAGAGCGACCGCCTGCTGGATGCGCACCTCCTCCTTCCCCCCAAACTGAACACGTAACAGACCACAGTGTTTCCCACACATAGACTAATCTGTGGCGCACCGCCACAGATTAGAGACCGCCCGCCACAAATTGCGTTTCGTATTATTATATATATATTTTTTTTGTTACGCTATTTAAAACATGCATCGTCTAGTGCCGCCGCAGCGGTCAATTTGACAGCGGGGAGGGGGGTTTAAAATGTGGCGGCCCTTCGTAACTCTCACTCAAGCTACGCGTCTCTCCCACATACAGAGACCTACACACACACAGCCCCTCCCCTTCGTGTACACCGCGTGTCTCCGTCTCCATCAGCGATCATCGCTGTAAGCAGCTGTGTCTATTAATTTACCGCGGTAAAGTGGCCCGCATCTTTCAGCTCTATGAACATGCGGCCCGCATCGGGGAAAAGACGGTGCGCGTTTTGTTGAGAACTTACGGTAACAGCGGAACGTCCTTTCGGAGTCACCCATTTTTATCGAACAGAAAGCGCGCTGGGGTCAGGGAGACACGTTTTTGTGATTAAAACCTTATAGAGATGCCACCCGGCACACATAGCACCAGCCCCCTACGATTCCTCCGGCAGATTGTGAGTCCTCAGGAGGATAGCCACTCTATTGTTTACATGTATAAAGTACACAATTTGGTCCGCTAGTGCAATTTTCAAGTATTGTAACTATTTACTGGAATAAGGTGTGCGACTAATTTCACTTGACTCATGACCTTATTATTGCCCTCTGCCACTGTACCAAAGACCAGAAACTTTTACTGTAGAAATATTGAGAAATATTGAGGTAAAGTAGCCATTTTGGTCCAAAATACCTCCAAAATAGTCAAAACATGTCACTTTTGATCTACTGTAACTTTTTACTGTAAAAAGGTGTGCGACTAATTTCACTGGATTCATGACCTCAAGATTGTCCTCTACCACTGTACCAAAGACCAGACACTTTTACTGTAGAAATATTGAGGTAAAGTAGCCATTTTGGTCCAAAATACCTCCAAAATAGTCAAAACATGTCACTTTTGATCTACTGTAACTTTTTACTGTAAAAAGGTGTGCGACTAATTTCACTGGATTCATGACCTCAAGATTGTCCTCTACCACTGTACCACTGTACCCCCCCCCCCCCCCCCCCGCCGACGACCACCACACATTGCCTTCAAACCTGTGGGAAACACTGCACCAAACTCCATTCACATACTGACACTGTACTCATCCCTGATTGGGAATACTTTTTAATGACTGAATTCTGATGTCACACATTATTTGGATCATAGGGACTGTCTCTGGTGTTTGATGATGAGAGAGAGACACAGTGTTGCAGAGTGTGATGAAGATTACCCATGTGAGCAGATCCTCTCCTATGGAGCCCACCACGGGGCCCTCGCTCCTCTTCCTCACCGCTATCATCTGCTCAGACAGGGACGCTGCAACACACACAGGCTTAGGACCACACTGCAGCACAGGGGAGCGACCCAGCTCCTGCCCTGACACCCCCCTTGACCCAGCCCCAGCCCTGACCCTGACCTCAACAGGCAGAGTGACTTATTCAGGGATAGGAGAGAGGATCCTCAGCCTCGTCAAGAGCCTGCTTTGGTAACTGCAGCTCATTTCTGATATCCCTCTCCTGAACTGGCACAGACTTCACCAGAACCTGCGCACTAAATGTGAAAAGTTAATCTTGTCTTCTTTTATGTTTTAAGGCTTAAAGCTAGTTCTGCTAGCCACCAGTTTGGGCAGCAGACTTCAGCCTTCGTCAGAGACACGTGATGGTGTGACGTGAGGTAATCAGGAAGCAGGGCTCACGGACCATCAACAGAGACGAAGGCGGAAGTCTACCGCGGACACATGTAGTCATTAAGCAGACGGGGACACTATTTCTAATAAGAACACATTTTACTTTAACATGACTCTTTCTGTTTCTGTCGGGACAAAATACATTATTTATGGAACAAGAAATGTAAGTATCCCAGCTTTATTATTGAATGTTCGACTCTCTCTCGTGACGCGGAAAGGCGTGGGGCTGAAGGGCGTGGCGGCTGAAGGCCGTGGATGGTTTACCGTGGAGGGTGATGATTTGGTGCAGGTTGCTGAAGATGCTCCTCAGGTCCGGTTCTGAGAGGATGGCGTCTCGGCTCAGTCTCTGGTAGAAGACGCTGTCCAGAACCTTCAGCTTCCTCACATGAGTGCGCTCAGTGTGCAGCAGCTCTAAGGCACAAGGGCAGAGACGGTGAGTTGTATTTCCGCAGGTGGAGGACCTCGTGTTTTTGTGCTGGGGCTACAGTGGATTACTGTTATAATACATTTTTGTTTCTCATGGAGCATGGAGGGAGCTAAACACAGGAGCAGGCCTGGGCACATTACCATGATTACACACTGAGTAAACCGTGTGCTGATTGGCTCTTACCGTTGATGACTTCCTGTCTCTCAATCTCTCTGGATGTGAGAGCGGCCAGAACGTCCCGACTGACCGCACTTTGCCAGGTGGGGGCGCCCTCCTCCACCTCCTCCTGTGGCTCCTGCTCCTCCTCACTCAGCATGTCCGGAGCTCCACTGCAGAACGAGTCCAGGCGCCGGCTGGGAGGTCAGAGGAGGAGAAGGAGGTCAGAGAGGTGGAGGTCAGAGAGGAGGTCAGAGAGGGGGACAGAGAGGAGGAGGACGGAGAAGAGGAGAGGAGGAGAAGGAGGTCAGAAAGGAAGTCAGAGAGGAGGAGGTCAGAGAGGAGGAGGACCGAGAGGAGGAGGTCAGAGGGGAAGTCAGAGGAGGAGGACAGAGAGGAGGTCAGAGAAGAGGAGGTAAGAGGGGAGGAGGACAGAGAGGAGGAGGTTGGAGAGGGGAACTGAGGAGGTGGGAGAAGAGGAGAAGAGGTCAGAAAGGAAGTCAGAGAGGAGGAGGTCAGAGGGGGAGAAGGAGGTCAGAGAGGAGGACAGAGAAGAGGGGGACAGAGAGGAGGAGGTCAGAAGAGGAGAAGGAGGTCAGAGAAGGGAACAGAGAGGAGGAGGTGAAAGAGGAGGACGGAGAAGAGGAGGAGGTCAGAGGGGAAGTCAGAGGAGGAGGACAGAGAGGAGGAGGACAGAGAAGAGGAGGTCAGAGAGGAAGACAAAGGAGGAGGACAGAGAGGAGGACGGAGAAGAGGACGGAGAAGAGGAGAGGGCGGCACGGTGGCTGAGTGGATAGCACTCTCGCCTCTCAGCAAGAAGGTCCTGGGTTCGAATCGGACCAGGGCCTTTTTGAGTGGAGTTTGCATGTTCTCCCCGTGTCTGCGTAGGTTTCCTCCGGGTACTCCGGTTTCTCCTACCACTAAAAATATGTATAATAGGCCTGGCATGCGCCTCCTGTACTGACAACCTTGCTCCCATCTCTCTGTGTGGAGTGAGAGGACAAATGCCCAAAAATAACAATTGTAAACCGCTTTGTGACTCTGGTCTGTGAAAGGTGGTATATAAATAAAGATTACTTACTTACTTACTAGAGTAGGAGAAGGAAGTCAGAGAGGAGGACAGAGAGGAGAACAGGGTCAGAGGACAGAGGAGAAGGAGGTCAGTGAGGGGGACAGAGAGGAGGTCAGAGAGGAGGAGGTTCAGACGACAGAGGAGGAGGTTCAGATGACAGAGGAGGAGGTTCAGGTGACTGGTCCAGAAATCAGAGAATGAATTCCTCATGTACAATCATGATTCTGTTCGAGTGTGACTTGATTGTGATTTCTGACCTGAACACGTCTGGCTCCTCCTCCTGCACCTCCTGCCCGGGGCTGAGGTCCAGCTGGGGCATGGGGGGACAGCAGGGGCTCTCAGGGGCCTCAGCACCCAGGGGTCCCGGGGAGAGAACACACACACCTACACACACAAAACAGACTTTTTACAAACCTGCCATCTCCTCTCTGGTTCATTACTTGTTTGTGTATGATGCCTCTGGTCCTTACCTGTGTTTGCTGGTCCACACCTGTGTCTGCTGGTTCGTTGCTGGTCCCTGTCTCTGGTCCTTACCTGTGTCTGCTGGTTCGTTGCTGGTCCCTGTCTCTCTGGTCCTTACCTGTGTCAGCTGGTTGGTGTGCGATGGTGTCTGAGGCCTGGGCGGAGCTGAGGGGGGTGTGGGCGGGGTCTGCCTGCTCAGGGAGACTGAAGCTGGGCTGAGGGAGCTGCTTTGGAGACTTCTGCTTTAGCTCCGCCCCCTTCCCTGGACAACAGAAGAAGAAGAAACTGTCAGACCAGGACAAACCAGGACAACCAGGACTAACCAGGACTAATCAGGACAAACCAGGACTAACCAGGACTAACCAGGACCAACCAGGACAAATCAGGACAAATCAGGACAAATCAGGACTAACCAGGACGAACCAGGACTAACCAGGACTAACCAAGACAACCAGGACAAACCAGGACTAACCAGGACCAAACCAGGACTAATCAGGACAAACCAGGACTAACCAGGACTGACCAGGACGAACCAGGACTAACAAGGACAAACCAGGACTAACCAGGACAACCAGGACTAACCAGGACAACAAGGACTAACCAGGACTCACCAGGACTAACAAGGACTAACCAGGACTAACCAGGACTAACCAGGACTAACCAGGACAACCAGGACTAACCAGGACTAACCAGGAATAACCAGGAATAACCAGGACTAAGCAGGACAAAGCAGGACTAACCAGGACTAACAAAGACTAACAAAGACTAACAAGGACTAACCAGGACTGCTGACGTTGTACATCAGTGCAATCATGTGAAATAATGTCAGAATGTGCAAGTTTCTAGTTCTGAGTTCTTGTTCTCACCATGACAATACAAATATAATTCTGATTCTGAATATACACACACACACACACACAGAGAGACACGCATATACAGACAAACACACACACACACACACACACATATACAGAGAGAGACACGTATACAGACACACACACACAGAGACACGCATATACAGACACACACACAGAGACACGCATATACAGACACACACACACACACACACACAGAGACACGCATATACAGACACACACACAGAGACACGCATATACAGACACACACACACACACACACAGAGACACGCATATACAGACACACGCACACACACAGAGACACGCATATACAGACACACAGACAGAGACACGCATATACAGACACACATACACACACACAGAGACACGCATATACAGACACACACACACACAGAGACACGCATATACAGACACACGCACACACACAGAGACACGCATATACAGACACACACACACAGAGACACGCATATACAGACACACACACAGAGACACGCATATACAGATACACACCCACACACAGAAATACGCATATACAGACACACATGCACACACACACACACACACAGAGAGAGCGACAGACACAGAGACACACACAGAGAGACACACATATACAGACACACACACACACACAGAGAGAGCGACAGACACAGAGACACACACACATACAGACACACACACACAGAAAGACAGACAGAAAGACATACAGACACACACACACACACAGGTTTTAAAAACAGCAGGAGTATGACCTGAGGTAGACTCCACCCGGCTGAGGCGTCGAGGTGTGGGAAGGATGTTGTGGAAGCGCTTCTTCACCTTCTCCTCTCCCTCCACCTTCACTGCTTTCTGTGCACGACAAACACACATCATTTCTTTAGGACCAACTTAAACCTGTCCTCTTCTACTTTATCTGTCATCATTTTGACTCCAGCTGTAGTCTGTTCATTGCTATTCACCCACTGTCCCATTGTCTGTTTCATTGCGTGATGATGGGACCCTGAACCCAGCCTCCAACACCTGCACCTGTGTGCGTGTCTGTGTGTGTCTATGTGTGTGTGTGTGTGTGTGTGTACCTTCTTGGCTGGGATCTTTGGTAGGAAGTGTATGCGTGCCCTCTTCTGCTCCAGGCCTCTGTTCTCCTTCAGCCTCACCCCCAGATGCTTCATGTAGGACTGGATCACGTACTGGATGGTGGAGCTGAGGACAGATACACACTCTCACTCTACACTGATACACAAATGATGCACACTTAGACACACTAAGACACACTAATACACATGATACACACTGAGGCATGATACACACTGATACACTCTTAGACACACTTATTTATTTGACCTTTATTTAACCAGGAAATCTAAAGATCTTATACACACTAATACACACTGATACACACTTAGACATATGATACACATTTATACACATGATACACACGTATACACACTGATACACACTGATTTACACTGATACACACATGGACACAAATGATACAAATGTAATGAGAAAAGCCCTCACCTCTTGTCCTCCTCTGAGGGCTGAGACGCAACACTGCAACACAAACGCACAAACACAAATCCTCATGGAGTCAGCAACAGTGACAACGACATGTTAAACAAGACACTGGGAATGCAGGTGAATAGCAATGAACAGACTACAGCTTAAGCATTATGAGGGAAGGAGGGAAAAGTGCCTGCAGTCATGTATCAGACTGTTGTGGTAAAAAGGGAGCAGCGTCTGCCACCAGAGCTCTGGAGCTTCACTGAGCTGACATGTCCAGTATGTCCCCACCCTAACCCACTCATCAGGGGAGTGTGGGGGCATCCAGCATGTCCCCACCCTAACCCACTCATCAGGGGAGTCCTCTCCTCTGTCCAGCTGAGACCACTGTAGACATTAATGTCCTCAAACTCACCGGAAAGAGACAGGAGAGACACTGGACCAGAGGAGAGTCCATAAAATGTAGTGGTTAGTGTCAGCAAACCGTTAACGTTAATGTAGCATGAACATTTCCTTTATTAACCCTTAGTGGCTTGTGTGGGCTGCGTTGATAAGTCCAGAGGAGGATCTGGGGTCATCTTCACACACGGAGAACATGAATTTTGGCGCGATGAGAAAACAAATAAATTTGGTGAAATCAAGCCAAAAACTGCACAGAATTACCTTCTGTGAGGGAGCATCAGGATGGAGACTCTATAGGGTTAGGGTTGTGTGTTGTGTGGTGTACTTTGTAGTGTTGTGTGGTGTGTCTTACAGAACGTCGTCGATCTTGGACAGGACGCCCTCCGCACAGCTGACCTCCAGAGCTGCCTCTCTGCTCTTCTCCAGTCTGCACAGCTCATCCTCCGCTAGAGTCAGACCCATACTGCGCTTATGCCTGGACAACACACAGAGACACACACACACAGCGAGAGAGACGCACGCACACTTTTAATATGGTAGTTTAAGATTCGACCTGTTTTTATAGCAACACAATTCACATAAGCTTTAAGTCAAATCTTTGCTTTCCAGTATTTTTAGTCACAGCATATTATTTAATTTACACACACACCTGAAGTCCTCTAGTAGCCGCAGCAGGGAGCAGTGTAGAGTGTCTTGGATCATCTGACTGTAGTGTTTGCACTGATCCTCTGGGAGCAGCTCCACACGCTTCCTGTCTGAGACATATCGTTTTATTTACACTCTCTTCACATCTTTATTCATTCACTCCAAACATAATGGTGAAGTAGCCACACCTGCCCTGACAGAAGCAATACAACCAGTCTGTGCCATCAGCCCCTCCCACCACCACCAACCATGCACACACACACCACACTCATTCTAATGTGGGGGAAGTGTCTTGCCTAAGGACACAACCACAGTTTGGCACTTTACAGCCGCAGCCGCCCCACTGTGGCACCTGCTGTTCCCAGAGGTCTCCCATCACAGCACTATCCAGGCCCTGTTCTGCTTAGCTACAGAGATCTGCAGTACTGATGTGCTGAGTGTGCCGGGTCTTCGAAGCATAGACCGAGTAAAAAAGGGGCTTTTTTTTTAAAGCGTGGGTCGAGGCGTGTGTTGGTGACGTATGTGGTGACGTTCGAAGCCTCGCGTAGCGGCCGCACCACTTGACGGTTCACTGAGGTGCTTCATATAGTTCGGATCGCATCGCTTTGACAGGTTGCTTTGTGATCTGCGGCTGTACCCGTCTGTCTCTTTGTTACTTACGTGGCAATAAAAATTATTCTGATTCTGATTCTGTGTGCGTACGTGTGTGTGATGTGGAGCAGTCCTGTACTTAAGTAAAGCAAATCTACTTCATATGAAATACAATCAAAACGTTTAACTTCAGTAAAACCTCAATTTTATATATCCAGGTTTGCCTTAATGTCACCATGTTTTACTTTTGTTTAAGTTAGTACTAATAATACGTTGTATCACCATTTGTTTAACAGTTGTGTGGCGCAGCCGGTAGTTGATGGACTCCAAAGTCAGAGAAATGTGGTTTGAACCCCGCTTGACTCAATTTGAGATTTGTGTTCGAAAAGTAAATTTATTTAATTATTGGGAATAAATGGTTTGTTGTGTTTAATTAATCCATCTCATGGTAGTTTTTCCTCAGTTAGACACTTTTTGTAAAACTGTATCGCTTTGGATCCAATATGTATGTTGTATCAACACAATTGACTGAAAGCCTCAAATAGTTCCTATTCATGAAGCATCATTTCAAGCACAACATGTTTAGATCATAGACAGTAAAAATCTATATTAATAGACAGTCCATGATTAGACCCCACAATTCATTGTAAGCACTTAAGAGTGTTATGTATTTTTATGTCCACATAATGGCGTAGTGGAGCATGATTCACCTCGAGCCTTCGAACCATGGGCCGAGTAATAGGCTGCAAACCCTCAATGCATCATGGGGCTTCATATTGCCATCACTAATCTGCAGGTATGGCCACAATACCACATTTAAACACTGGTCCCTGTCACTCTCGTATTCGTCCCTGAAACCGGATTTGTCCGGAAGTTCAGTTTGCGCATGTCAAAAAGTGTAATAAGTCCTTAAGTAGTGACTGGTAGGTGTCTAAGTAAGATGGTTAAGTTTAGGGTTAAGGCTGGGTTGGGGTTATTTTATGGGAATGGCTGGTTAAGTTTAGGCATGAATAGATAGTTTGTTACCTTTTCTTCCGCTTCCGTCCAGATTCCGTGACGTAATCTACTGCTGCGTATGATCAATGGATCAAACTGAACTTCCGGACGAATCCGGTTTCCGGGACGAATACAGGAGTGACAGTCCCTTTAGCTTAGCCCGGTCTGGTTCACTTCCTGGTTCACTTCCTGGTTCACTTCCTGGTTCACATCCTGGTTCACTTCCTGGTTCACTTCCTGGTTCACTTCCTGGTTCACAGACCTAGTGTAGACCTGTGTCACTCCCGGATTTGTTCCGGAAGCCCGATTTGTCCGGAAGTTCAGTTTGATCCATTGATCATACGCAGCAGTAGCCTGGCCATAGCCATCCGTACACTCCACTCAATCATCATTTCACGTAATGTAACCGTCTGGGTCTGGTCCCTGTGTTAGCGAATACAATCGGTCGTATTTCGACCGGCTACTCAGAGAGCGCGGAAGGCGGGTGTTGTAGGTCGGTGCCCGTGACGTTAAAGAGTTTGCGCCGAACGGGCAGGTTGTAGTTTGGCAATGGCGAAGAATGAGATAGTAAAGTAATCCGGTCTGGTTCTATCAAGAAATTGAAGCAGGAGCAAGAGGAATGTTTAGCAAATGTAATCACTGGTAAAGATTGTGGTGCTACTCCCCACGGGCTCCGTTAGCGGCAAAGGGAGATGGCTAGGCTAAATGCTAACAACACACTCGGGCGCATTACATACGTCACGGTAAACTCAGATCCAATCTGAAATGTAATTTGTACTAAGGTGTGGTACAACCAGGCTAACGCAGCAGTAGATTACGTCACGGAATATGGACGGAAGCTGAAGTAAATATAACAAACTACCTTTTCATGCATAAACTTAACCAGTCATTCCCATAAAATAACCCCAACCCAGCCTTAACCCTAAACTTAACCATCTTACTTAGACGCCTAAAACTTAACCAGTTACCACTTAAGAACTTATTAACTGAACTTCCGGACAAATCCGGTTTCCAGGACGAATCCGGGGAGTGACACCTGTGTGGGTCTTACCCAGTTCAGCCGCTACAGTCTCTGGAACCGGGACTTTCAGATTCTGCAGAAAATAAAACATGTCTTTAAAACAGTTGTGAGTACAGTGTAGAGTACAGTGGTGAGTACAGTAGTGAGTACTGTGTAGAGTACAGTGCAGAGTACAGTAGTGAGTACAGTGTAGAGTACAGTAGTGAGTACAGTAGTGAGTACAGTGGTGAGTACAGTAGTGAGTACAGTGTAGAGTACAGTGCATAGTACAGTGGTGAGTACAGTGGTGAGTACAGTGTAGAGTACAGTGGTGATTACAGTGGTGAGTACAGTGGTGATTACAGTGGTGAGTACAGTGGTGAGTACAGTAGTGAGTACAGTAGTGAGTACAGTAGTGAGTATAGTAGTGAGTACAGTAGTGAGTACAGTGGTGAGTACAGTAGTGAGTAAAGTAGTGAGTACAGTGGTGAATACAGTAGTGCGTACAGTGGTGAATACAGTGGTGGGTACAGTAGTGAGTACAGTGGTGAGTACAGTGGTGAGTACAGTAGTGAGTACAGTAGAGAGTACAGTGTAGAGTACAGTAGTGAGTACAGTGGTGAGTACAGTAGTGAGTACAGTAGTGAATACAGTAGTGAGTACAGTAGTGAGTACAGAAGTGAGTAAAGTAGTGAGTACAGTAGTGAGACTCACAGCAGCTCGGTCCATGAACAGTGAGTAAAACTCTTGGAAGAAGCGGCGGCTCTCTTTGGCGCTCGTTTGTTTGTGCAGATCGGCGTAAAGATAACACAACTGTAACACAACACATATCAAAGATAACACAACTGTGCGTGTGTTGTAGTGTGTGTGTATTCCAGTGTGTGTGTGTGCATGTTTTAGTGTGTTGTAGAGTGTGTGTCTGTGTCTGTGTTGTAGCATGTTGTAGCGTGTGTTAGTGTGTGTTGTAGCGTGTCAAAGTGTTGTAGTGTGTGTTGCAGTATATGTTAGTGTGCATTATAGAGTTTTGTAGTGTGTGTTAGTGGGTGTTAGTGTGTGTTGTAGCGTGTTAAAGTGTGTTACCAGAGGGGCGGGGTCAAACTGTGACACCACGTGATGCAGAAACACTGAGAGGTGAGCAGGACGACTCTTCAGCTCCTCCAGGCTCTGGAAGGAACTGCACTGAAGGCTCATCTACACACACAGAGAGACACGCACACACAGAGAGAAACACGCACACACACAGAGACACACACACAGACACACACACACAGAGACATGCACACACACACTCACAGAGACGCGCACACACACACACACACAGAGAGACACGCACACACACACACAGAGACATGCACACACAGACACACACACACACACAGAGACACACACAGAGACACACACAAAGAGAGACGCGCAGTCACACACACACGCAGTAACACGCACACGCACACACACACAAACACAAACACACACACAAACGCACACACACAAACACACACTGTGAATGCAGTGCTTTGTTTAACAAAGTTTTTCTTAAATGTTGTGATGAATGGATGGATTTGTATGAGATGTTTTAATGTCTCCAGACTATTTCCACGGGGACTCTTTCCATAGGAACTCTTTCCATGGGGACTCTTTCCATAGGAACTCTTTCCATGGAGAATCTTTCCGATGGGACATGTGTGACTTATGAATACTGTGTTCAACTGTTAAAATATGATTTTGTCCAAAGACCAAGGAGACGCACAACTGTCAGTGTGGATGGTGCTCGGGTTAGAGCCGCTGACCTGCTCCTGCTCAAAGTACTCGTCCTCTGCTCCAATGATCTGTGGGTGAAGGAGAGGAGAGGCCCCTGGGGAACTGCTGTCCTGCAACACACACATACACACACACACGGAGAGCGACAGAAACAGAGACACACACACACGCACACACAGAGAGAGACAGGCATACAGAGAGACAGACAGAGACACACACACACGCACACAGAGAGACACACACGCACAAACAGAGAGAGAGACAGACACAGAGACACAGACACACACACACTCACACACACAGAGAGAGCGACAGACACAGAGACACACACACACACACGCACAGAGAGCGCGACAGACACAGAGACACAGAGACACACACGCACAGAGAGCGCGACACAGACACAGAGACACACACATATTTAATGTTAAGAATGTTCTTTTAATGAGACAAAAGTGTATAGAAGTTAGTTCTGCTTCATGACCACATTACCAGGTGTGAGCCAAGGTGAAGGCCCCCTCGTCTCTGTTCATGGTCTGTGCACCAGGGGGCGTGGTCAGTCTGATGGATCAGATCCATCTGTCCGACTGACCACGGAAATAAAATAATTGTCTCTCTGCTACACTAAACATGAAAACCTGCAGCTTATATTAACTCTTTCAGTGCCAATGACGCATATTACGTCAATTCAAGATCTGTGGTTGTGTGCCATTGACGCATTTTATGCAATTGACGTGTTTTGGTGTATTCAGATCCAGACGCATCCATTCTATCATATATCTCTGATCGGGACTGTTTGACAGTATTTTATTCGGCCAGCAGATGTCAGTAGCGTCCTTTAGCTCTTCGATCAGTCATAAAAGGAACACACAACAAGATTACTCTATGTAGACAGAGACACACACGCACGCATGCACACGCACGCACACGCACGCACACGCACGCACGCGCACGCACACTCTCAGCCAATCAGCACTTTATGTATATAGTTATTTGTTTGTAATTTATGTTTGTACATTTCTTATTCTGAGTATTATTTTGCTATCAAAAGCACTTTATTTTGAGTCATTTCCCTTATTTTATATATGGGAAGAATGTTCTGTTGTGTGAGAAATGACTAAAGTAAAAAAAACTTTTCAAAGTCACTTTTCTGCATTGTTTGCTTATTTTCACAAACACCTCATTTTCTCAGCTTTATGTCGGAAACTGATGATTTCTGTGAAAAGTTTACCTTACTCCAATGGTGATTACAGAAGAACTAAAGCCGATAGAAACACACTTATTTTTTCTGAGTAAACTAGAGGGTCCAATCTTTCAGAATATGGTCTCAGATTTAAGCTAGTCATAGCAGAACTGGCTGGCACTGGAGGAGTGATGTTCTGAAAATGTCTGGCACTGAAAGAGTTAAGATCAAGATTAAGGTCTGTATGTGCGGCTTATATACAAGTACGGTTTATATACAGGTGCGGCTTATATACAAGTGCTGCTTATATACAGCCGTATCTTATATATAGGTGCGGCTTATATACAGGTGCGGCTTAAATACAGGCGCGGCTTATATACAGGTGTGGCTTGTATACAGGTGTGTATATCAGTCCTACATGGTGCATCAATGTTTAAGAAGTTGAAGAAAATGGATTAGAAGTGTTGAATTCTAAGAAGCAGAGGCTGAGTCAGTACCTGGGCCCGGACCTGCTCCTCACTGCCCACAGCTGTCCCTGCACTGGGAGGGTCCTCTGAAGGAGAACAGGGCCTTTCCCCTCTGCTCCGGAGCTAAAGACACACACACACAGACACACACACACAACAAGCAGACATCAGAGTCACAACAGGCAGACTTCATTAGAGTAACAACAGACATCATAGAGTCACAACAGACATCATAGAGTCACAACAAGCAGACATAGAGTCACAACAGACATCATAGAGTCACAACAAGCAGACATAGAGTTACAACATCATAGAGGCACAACAGACATCATAGAGTCACAACAAGCAGACTTCATAGAGTAACAGCAGACATCATAGAGTCAAAACAGACATCATAGAGTCACAGCAGACATTCTAGAGTCACAGCAGACATCATAGAGTCACAGCAGACATCATAGAGTCAAAACAGACATTATAGAGTCACAGCAGACATTATTTAATTAAATATCGCAACACTTTGTTTTGTGCACAAAACGAACATACATGTTTGTACAGTGTATAGTGTTTTTCTGCAGTGACTCTGCTTTCTCTCATTGGTTCTTCAGTCGTCCAATCAAATAAGAGCAAACAGATAAAGGTGCAGCAGATCCAGAGTCTGAAGAATGAAAGTAAAAACTCACCACAAACATGTCTCCTGAGCTGCCATCTACACACTCTGCCTGTGTCACCTGAGACACACACAGACACACACATAGACATACACCCAAACACACACACACACACACATACAGAGACACACACACACACACACACACACAAATGCAGACACACACACACACAGAGAGGCACACACACTCACACACAGACACACACATACACCCAAACACACACACACACAGACACACACATACAGAGAGACACACACACACAGAGAGACAGACACACACACACGCACACAGAGACACACACAGACACACACATACACCCAAACACACACACACACAGACACACACACATACAGAGAGAGAGACACACACACACACACAAATGCAGACACACGCACACACACACACATGCAGAGACACACACAGAGAGACACACACGCACACATGCAGAGACACACACACACACACACAGACACAGACACACGCGCACACACACACACACAGAGAGAGACATGTTACACTATGACTAATCCTCAAACTATGGTGTGATAAACAGATCTGTTTTCTACAAACGTTTTTCACATTATTTACAATGAGTTAACATTTACTACACCCAGAGACGCACCGGTACCACTGTTCAGAGACGCACCGGTACCACTGTTCAGAGACGCACCGGTACCACTGTTCAGGGATGTAACGGTACCACTGTTTTCAAACCAATACGAGTACCTTAATGTGAGTACTTGCTGATACCGACACGAGTACTGCACATAGACTGTAAATATTACTGTGTTGTGTTATCTGGGAATTCCTCAAACAAATACCACTTAAAATTCCAATGTTTTATTTCTCATTTCAACAATAAGACAAAGTTTTAACAATTAAACATTTTAGCACTTGTTTTAAGAGTCAACAATAAGAGCCACAATCATATTGCTTGCTGCTAGCTTGCTAACCGCTAGCTTGCTTTCTTGCTGCCGACCTTGGGAGATCAACATAATAAGAATGAATATGAAATGTGGGTATCATTTTCTGGAATCAGGTTCTATGGTATTGACCCGACACCATCAGTGCATCCCTGAGTACACACTGAGTACACACTGAGTACACACTGAGTACACACTGAGTACACACTGAGTACACACTGAGTACACATTGAGTACACACTGAGTACACCAGGTTAGATTCACACCTGTGTCTCTGATTGGGCGTCTGCTCTCAGCGGAGTCTCTGATTGGCTGCTTCTCTTCTCATTCTGAAACGTTCAGATAAACATGTTTTAGATACAGATTTAGGAAATGATACAAATGTATGACTCTATGATGTCTGCTGTGACTCTATGATGTCTGCTGTGACTCAATGATGTCTGTTGTTGTGACTCTATGATGTCTGTTGTTGTGACTCTATGATGTCTGTTGTTGTGACTCTATGATGTCTGTGGTGACTCTACGATGTGGTACTGACCTGCAGCTCGTCTGTGGAGCTGGGGGTCAGAGGTCGGGGGCTGGGGGTCAGAGGTCGGCGGTCTCCTCCTGACAGGACAGGGGAGTGCAGCGTGGACACAGGAGAACCCAGCACCTCCTCCTCCAGCGGGACATGAGGGAGACCAGGGGGACGACCCAGGACTGTCAGGGCCACATACGAACCAGCTGGAGGAGAACAGGAGGAGGAGGAGGAGGAGCAGAGGAGGAGGAGCACAGGAGGTGCAGAGGTGGAGGAGGAGCAGAGGAGGAGGAGCAGAGGTGGAGGAAAAGCAGAGGAGGAGGTTAGGGACAACATCTCAAACATCCAAATGTGACTTTAAACTTACACTTGATCAGTTTCACAACCTCGATGTGATTGGAGTGAGTCACCAGAGTCCCATTCACCTGCAACACACAGACACACACATAACACAGACACACACACATAACACACACACACACACACACACAGTACACACATAGACACACACACATACAACACACAGACACACATATAACACAGCAATTCAAAAGATATTACAACATTCTCTAGAGACCAGAGAGAGACCAGAGAGACCAGAGAGACCAGAGAGAGACCAGAGCAAAGTGTGTCCAGGGAGAGCTGACCTTGATGATGCGGTCTCCAGTCTGCACTCCAGCTCTCATGGCGGCTCCATCTGAAACCCACTCACATGTCAACACACACACATACACAACACACACACGCAGGTCTCACACACAGAGGTCTCCCATCACAGTACTAACCAGGCCTGTCCCTGCTTAGCTTCAGAGATGTGGCACAATTAGTTATAGTTACTAACTACTGAATCCAAAAAGTAACAGAGGCAGTATTTGAATCACTCTCAACAACAGTCACTTTTGGGAAAATACCTTTTTGCTTTTAAACATACGTCCGTCTCCTGAACGGGGCAGTGTGGCACAGACACAGGCGTCTCTGACACAGGCGTCCCGACCTTCTGCTAATGGAGACTGTGTATGTAGAGACTGTGGCGCCCTCTGCTGGTGGAGACTGTGTATGTAGAGACTGTGGTGCCCTCTGCTGGTGGAGACTGTGTGAGTGAAGATACTGTGGCGCCCTCTGCTGGTGGAGACTGTGTGAGTGTAGATACTGTGGCGCCCTCTGCTGGTGGAGACTGTGTGAGTGTAGAGACTGTGGCGCCCTCTGCTGGTGGAGCCTGTGAGTGTGTAGACTGTGGTGCCCTCTGCTGGTGGAGACTGTGAGTGTAGAGACTGTGGCGCCCTCTGCTGGTGGAGACTGTGGCACCCTCTGCTGGTGGAAACTGTGAGTGTGTAGACTGTGGCGCCCTCTGCTGGTGTAGACTGTGTGTAGAGACTGTGGCGCCCTCTGCTGGTGGAGACTGTGTGAGTGTGTAGACTGTGGCGCCATCTGCTGGTGGAGACCGGTACTGACCTTCTTTGACCAGCTGCACAAACACAGGGTTGTCTCCGCTCACTGTGAGTCCGAAGCCGTTCTCATCTCTCTGAATGATCACACAACGCTGCACCAGCCCTGAGAACACACACACACACACACACAAACACATTGTTTAAATGGGCAGAGAATACACTGTAAGGACCAAACAGTAGGATTAATTCTCTTTCCCTCGATAGAACAAATACTAAAACCACATTTTTATAATCATTGTTTGTTCTTATGAGTTTTCCTCTAATGCAAGAGTCTGTTACAGATAGTGTCTAACAAGAAGGACTGTGGTCCAGAACACTTTACATTCTACAACTTGTGTGACATTTATCAGCATGTATGACATTTATCAACATGTATGAGATTTATCAACATGTGTGATATTTATCAACATGTGTGACATTTATCAACATGTATGAGATTTATCAACATGTGAGACATTTATCAACATGTGAGACATTTATCAACATGTATGACACTTATCAACATGTATGATATTTATCAACATGTGTGATATTTATCAACATGTGTGACATTTATCAACATGTATGAGATTTATCAACATGTGAGACATTTATCAACATGTGTGACATTTATCAACATGTGTGACATTTATCAACATGTATGAGATTTATCAACATGTGAGACATTTATCAACATGTGAGACATTTATCAACATGCATGACATTTATCAACATGTATGACACTTATCAACATGTATGATATTTATCAACATGTGTGATATTTATCAACGTGTGAGACATTTATTAACATGTGTGACATTTATCAACATGTATGACATTTATCAACATGCATGACATTTATCAACATGTGTGACATTTATCAACATGTATGACATTTATTAACATGTATGACATTTTTCACACGTATGACATTTATCAACATGTGTGACATTTATTAACATGTACGACATGTATCACATGTATGACATGTATCACATGTATGACATTTATTAACATGTATGGCCATTTATCAACATCCATCCATCCATTTTCTTCCGCTTTATCCGTTGCCGGGTCGCGGGGGCAGCAGTCTAAGCAGAGACGCCCAGACTTCCCTATCCACACACACCTCCTCCAGCTCGTCCGGGGGGACCCCAAGGCGTTCCCAGGCCAGCTGAGAGACATTGTCTCTCCAGCGTGTCCTGGGTCTTCCCTGGGGCCTCCTCCCGGGGACAGCACGACAATGAAAAGCGTGACGTCGCCCGGCATGGCGCAGCCGGGGCCCCACCCTGGAGCCAGGCCTGGGGTCGGGGCTCGCAAGCGAGCGCCTGGTGGCCGGGCCTTAGCCCACGGGGCCCGGCCGGGCTCAGCCCGAAGGGATGACGTGGGCAGTCCCTCCTGTGGGCCCACCACCTGCAGAGGGGTCCGTGGTGGCGAGGTGCAGCGAGGACTGGGTAGCAGTCGAAGGCGGAGACCTCGACGACCCAGTCCACACACCCATTTATCAACATGTGTGACATTTATCAACATGTGTGACATTTATCAACATGTATGATATTTATCAACATGTGTTCTATATTCTTTCTGTATTTTAACTGTTGATTCTCTGATCTGTGCCATTGGGGTCAATGGTTTTGTTCAGTCTCTGAGATGATGCTTTTGTGATTTAGGGCTATACAAGAATAAATTGTATTGTAATGTGTTGTATATACAGTAACTTGCGAAAGTATTCGGCCCCTTGAACCTTTCAACATTTCGCCACATTTCAGGCTTCAAACATAAAGATATAAAAATTAAAAATTTTGTCAAGAATCAACAACAAGTGGGACACAATCGTGAAGTGGAACGAAATGTATTAGATAATTTAAACTTTTTTAACAAATAAAAAACTGAAAAGTCGGGCATGCAATATTATTCGGCCCCCTTGCGCTAATACTTTGTAGCGCCACCTTTTGCTGTAATTACAGCTGCAAGTCGCTTGGGGTATGTCTCTATCAGTTTTGCACATCGAGAGACTGGAATTCTTGCCCATTCTTCCTTACAAAACAGCCCGAGCTCAGTGAGGTTGGATGGAGAGCGTTTGTGAACAGCAGTCTTCAGCTCTTTCCACAGATTCTCGATTGGATTCAGGTCTGGACTTTGACTTGGCCATTCTAACACCTGGATACGTCTATTTGTGAACCATTCCATTGTAGATTTGGCTTTATGTTTTGTATCATTGTCCTGTTGGAAGATAAATCTCCGTCCCAGTCTCCAACAAGTTTTCTTCCAGAATGGTCTTGTATTTGGCTCCATCCATCTTCCCATCAATTTTAGCCATCTTCCCTGATTTCTTCCCTGCTTTTCTTCATCTGTCCCCGCTGAAGAAAAGCAGGGCCAAACCATGATGCTGCCACCACCGTGTTTGACAGTGGGGATGGTGTGTTCAGGGTGATGAGATGTGTTGCTTTAACGCCAAACATATCGTTTTGCATTGTGGCCAAAAAGTTCGATTTTGGTTTCATCTGACCAGAGCACCTTCTTCCACATGTTTGGTGTGTCTCCCAGGTGGCTTGTGGCAAACTTTAAACGAGACTTTTAATGGATATCTTTGAGAAATGGCTTTCTTCTTGCCACTCTTCCATAAAGGCCAGATTTGTGCAGTGCACGACTGATTGTTGTCCTATGGACAGACTCTCCCACCTCAGCTGTAGTTATCTGCAGTTCATCCAGAGTGATCATGGGCCTCTTGGCTGCATCTCTGATCAGTCTTCTCCTTGTTTGAGATGAAAGTTTGGAGGGACGGCCGGGTCTTGGTAGATTTGCAGTGGTCTGATACTCCTTCCATTTCAATATAATTGCTTGCACAGTGCTCCTTGAGATTTTTAAAGCTTGGGAAATCTTTTTGTATCCAAATCCGGCTTTAAACTTCTCCACAACAGTATCTCGGACCTGCCTGGTGTGTTCCTTTGTCTTCATGGTTCTCTCTGCGCTTTAAACAGAACCCTGAGACTATCAAAGAGCAGGTGCATTTATATGTAGACTTGATTACACACAGGTGCATTCTATTTATCATCATCAGTCATGTAGGACAACATTGGATCATTCAAAGATCCTCACTGAACTTCTGGAGTGAGTTTGCTGCACTGAAAGTAAAGGGGCCAAATAATATTGCACGCCCCACTTTTCAGTTTTTTATTTGTTAAAAAAGTTTAAATTATCCAATAAATTTTGTTCCACTTCACGATTGTGTCCCACTTGTTGTTGATTCATGACAAAACTTTTTTTTTTTTATATCTTTATGTTTGAAGCCTGAAATGGGGCAAAATGTTGAAAGGTTCAAGGGGCCGATTACTTTCGCAAGGCACTGTAAGAACATTAGTGTTGCTTGTTCCTATGTATCTTCTAACCAGCTTTTTCTTCCAAAGAATACATACAGACCTCTGTCTCAGTATACATACAGACCTCTGTCTCAGTATACATACAGACCTCTGTCTCAATATACATACACACCTCTGTCTCAGTATACATACCAGACCTCTGTCTCAGTATACATACAGACCTCTGTCTCAGTATACATACCAGACCACTGTCTCAGTATACACACAGACCTCTGTCTCAGTATACATACAGACCTCTGTCTCAGTATACACACAGACCTCTGTCTCAGTATACATACAGACCTCTGTCTCAGTATACATGCAGACCTGTGTCTCAGTATACAGACCTGTCTCAGTATACATACAGACCTCTGCATTTGCTGATAAGCACTAATATCTTATATATAGTATTTCTATCCTGGTCTGTCGTGGATGAGACCCTTAAAGAGTCATTCTACAGTGAAACCGCAGCGACCGCTGTAAATTACTGTCGTCAGCTCAGTCCCTTGGCCTCCTCAAAGGTCATCACCAGCGGCAGGTCCAGGCAGCACAGACCTGACCAGAACTGGACACCATCGAGATCATGAGGCCGTTTCTGATTCATGAGCAGAGTGTAATTCTCAGAACCATTAGTCAGGATCTTGTCCCACCTTTGTCCCCCCCATCCCCCCTTCTTTTCTGTTTCAGCTACACTTTGGAAACTAATCTTGTAAAACAAAACTGCAGTCATGGCTGAGCTCTACCACACTTATTATATACATGTTATACAGATTATTTTACATTGTGGCGGCGCAGTGGTTAGCAAGACGGCTCTGAGTTTGATCCCACCTCCAGGCCTTTCTAAGTGCAGTTTGTATCTTCTCCCTGTGTAAGTTTCCTCTGGGTGCTCCAGTTTACACTACCACTCCCTTAAAAACATGTACAATAGATCTGCCTCCTCCTTAAGCCCACTTCCTGTGTGGAGTGAGAGACAAAGGCAGTATGTATCATAGTGATGGACAGTGTAACCATAGTAACTAGTCTGTATAAACATGTGTGTGTGTGTGTGTGTGTGTGTGTGTGTGTGTGTGTGTGTGTGTGTGTGTGTGTGTGTGTGTGTGTGTGTGTGTGTGTGTGTGTGTGTGTGTGTGTGTGTGTGTGTGTGTGTGTGTGTGTGTTATCACCTGTGGGGTCAAAGTCGTGTTTCAGAGCCACAGGGGAGCGCTCTGTCCTGGCTCTTCTGTCCACACACTCTTTGTTCAGGATGCTTGGGGTCCTGGAAACAGACACACACACACACACACACACACACACACACATACACACACAGACAAACACATTTCAGATTTTAGAGAAATTCCGATGCCATCTTCAACAGGAGCATTAGGCTGTATAGTACATGATCATCTGATTAAAAGTTAAAACCTGTTAGCATCTTATGTTAGCATTAGATGTTAGCATCATGTGCTACGTGCAGCTACAGAATGTGACTGAAGAACTGTGCTTTTTGTCCCTCGCAGCGTCACCACACGCCACAGTTATGAAGAGCACAGTGGATATGAATGGATTCTCTGTGGTAACTATAGTCATGCTACTGTTGGGAAACATGAGATGTAATGTTTTCAACCAATAATCCATTTGATAAGTGTTGTATCTGAAAGACAGTCTAGGGGGCGCAATCGTCTCCTCAAAACCAACACTCAGAGGATGAGAGGGAGTTTCTTTCCCCAAGCCATAAGACTAAACCGGGCCTAACTCTGTCTCTGTTTTCTTCTGGTAAATTAAAATTTCACTGCATGTAATGTTTATGTGACAAACATTAATAAACTAAAGTAACTTCAAGAATCTGTGACTAAACATAGTTCTCAGAACAAACCGACTGCTCAGCACATATAACGGATGCCTTCATCACATCATGAGGGCAAAGATAACTCACAATCAAATCAAAATACGACCTTTGTCGAGTCACAAGATACGACTGTCCAAAGAGCATCCTGTCTGCAGAAACAGGAGACCAGAACGGCGCTAAAGGACCAGGGGGAGACTCACGCACAGCTAAGGAGAACGGTTTTCAGTCTGGACTTAAACAAAACCAGGGAAGAGGCCTCCGTACATGTGGGTGTCAGCTGCAGGAGTGTGGCAGGACATCAGTGCTGGGGATTAGCTGGACTTTAGTGGCAGCATGTGGGTATTAAGAGAGGCCCCAGGGTGGACCCTTGGGGCACTCCACATGTCAATGCCATATGATCTGAAACACAGAGGGGACTGTGCCTACACTAATCTAGGCCAGTACCAGATACACGCACCCACTTTTCCAGTCTCTCTCTCTCTCTCTCTCTCTACCTGAGAGACCACGGAGGGCTCTCATTTATTCATGAGTAACAGAGAGGGAGAACCTGAGACACTTTCAGAAATAATCAAATCAAACAATGACTTAAAGCTGAGGTACCTGAGTTTAAAAACAACAGACCATGTACAGACCATAGTACAGAAGTACAGACCATACACAGACCATATATAGACCATATACAGACCATATACAGACCATAGGCCATATAAAGACCATATACAGACCATAGTATAGACCCTATACAGACGATAGTATAGACCATAGTACAGACCATATCCAGACCCTATACAGACCATATACAGACGATAGTACAGACCATATACAGACCATAGTACAGACCATATACAGACCATATTCTCTAACTCTACACTCAGATGTAAACATCCTCAGGCCCAGTCTAAGCCTCAGTCCCACTGCAGTCTCGGCCCAGACCATTGTAAAGCTTCCTCCAGTCCCTGATAATACGCTCCTCACTGGAGCTTGTTTATGCAATTCCGAGGGCCCCCCACTCCAGCCTACACTGGGGCCCCTAGGCTTCAGACAATGGCCCCCACGTCACGGCTCTGAGGGGCCAGGCTCAGACTCCAGGAAGTGTGCGACAGAAGAGACTGCTGGCACCGGGCCAACAAACGCTTCCTGTGAGCGAGGACTGAGGGTACTGGACTTTAGCTTCAGACGCTTTAGCTCCAGACGCTTTAGCTCCAGACGCTTTAGCTCCAGACGCTTTAGCTCCAGACGCTTTAGCTCCAGACGATTTAGCTCCAGACGCTTTAGCTCCAGACGCTTTAGCTCCAGACGCTTAAGCTCCAGACGCTTAAGCTCCAGACGCTTAAGCTTTAGACGCTTTAGCTTCAGACACTTTTTTTTTATATATATTTTTTTTATTGAACATTTTTTGCAAAGCAGAGCAGTGTACATTTGTGTAATATCAAGGATTGTGACAAGATTTATAGTTTGTCTTTTGACCAAGCCAAAGACATTAGTCCGGTTCGAATCTTTTGTGCTGCAGGAATGTCAAGAAAGTCCAAAAAAGGGTTCCATGTCCTATAGAACCTGTATGGTTTGTCCTTTAGCAGAGTGGAGAAGGCCTCCATAGGAATGATACTGATAACAGTCTGTATCCACTGATGGCTCCTCGGCAGAGATCCACCGTACCATTATGCCTTTTTGGGCGCAGTGTAAAAGTGTATGTAACAGATCCCCTTTTGTAAAAGCTACTGGGAGTTCATCATTAAGACCTAGAATGCATGTTCTTGGTCCCAAATTTAGTTGACACTTGAATATTGCACAGAGCTTCACAATAATCGAGTTCCAAAATTGAAGTATCATAGGGCAACTCCAAAAACAGTGGAGGTTGGCATTTATTAAGTAATCTTTATTTATATACCGCCATACCAGACCAGAGTCACAAAGCGGTTTACAATTGTTATTTTTGGGCATTTGTCCTCTCACTCCACAGCCAAAGCCACCCTTTCCAGGCCGGCCTCGCATCCCCAGCCTATCGCACAGCAAACGCCCATTCCAACCAACCTATGCCGGCCAGGCCAGCCGCTTAAAAGTGGAGAAACTCCCACTTTACGGCCTTCTCGAAGCCTTGCAAAGAGTCGTTCTGGAGGAATCGCTTTCGTCTACTCACGCTTACTCGTGCGTGTCCCTGCTGTCCTCTGTCTTGCTGCGTGTGGTCTGCTCCTCCTCCGCGTCGCTGCACCTGCTGCGGGTCTCGTGCTGTGGTCCGTGGGTCTTTGCCGCTCTCCTCCTTTGCGGGCTCTTTCTGCGGGTTCGCCGCTGCTCGTCTCGTCGCGGCCTGCTGCTGCATACGGCCGGTCTGGACCGGTGCGGTGGGAGCTGTGCGCATCCCTGCCTCCTCGTGCCGTATGCTGACCTGCGGACGGTTTATTCCCCTCGCATTGTACTGCAGGCTCGGTTTTGGCCCCGCGCTTTGTACTGCAGGCTCAGTTGGCCCCGCGCATTGGTGTGCAAGCTCTCAGTTTAAAGCACTCGCATTGGTCTGCAGGCTCTCTTTAAATCCCCCTCTTGGACTACAAGCTCTGTTTAAATCCCTCTCTCTTGGACTGCGGCTCTAAGTTTAAATCCCTCACTCGGACTACAAGCTCCGTTTTAATCCCTCACATTGGACTGCAAGCTCTCAGTTTTAATCCCTCACATTGCTCTCCTTAAATCCCTCTCTTGGACTACAAGCTCTGTTTAAATCCCTCTCTTTGGACTGCGGCTCTCAATTTGAATCCCTCACATTAGACTGCAAGCTCTCAGTTTTAATCCCTCACTTAGGACTACAAGCTCCGTTTTAATCCCTCACATTGGACTGCAAGCTCTCAGTTTTAATCCCTCACATTGCTCTCCTTAAATCCCTCTCTTGGACTACAAGCTCTGTTTAAATCCCTCTCTTTGGACTGCGGCTCTCTCTTTGAATCCCTCTCTTGGACTACAAGCTCTGTTTAAATCCCTCTCTTTGGACTGCGGCTCTCAATTTGAATCCCTCACATTAGACTGCAAGCTCTCAGTTTTAATCCCTCACTTAGGACAGCAGGCTCTGTTTGAATCCCTCACACTGGACTGCAAGCTCTCAGTTTTAATCCCTCTCTTGGACTACAAGCTCTCAGTATTAATCCCTCACTTTGGACTACAAGTTGTTTAACTCCTTCACACTGGACTGCAGGCTCTCAGTTTAAACCCCTCTCTTGGACTGCGGGCTCAGTTTTAATCCCTCACTTTGGACTGCAATCTCTGTTTAAATCCCTCACACTGGACTGCAAGCTCTCGGTTTTAATCCCTCACTTGGACTACAAGCTCTCAGTTTTAAATCCCTCACTTACGACTGCAGGCTCTGTTTGAATCCCTCACACTGGACTGCAAGCTCTCAGTTTTAATCCCTCTCTTTGGACTACAAGCTCTCAGTATTAATCCCTCACTTTGGACTACAAGCTTTCAGTATTAATCCCTCACTTTGGACTACAAGTCGTTTAACTCCTTCACACTGGACTGCAGGCTCTCAGTTTAAACCCCTCACTTGGACTGCAAGTTCTGTTTAAATCCCTCACATTGGACTGCAAGCTCTGTTTAGGTCCCTCGGCGTCTCTCGTGTCCCGCAACCTCTTCCCGGCTCTCCGTGAGCCCCAAGTCGTCGCGCGGCTCTGGCGCGGGAGGTGTCCGCGGCAGTGGCGGAACCAGACTTTTAAACAGAAGGTGGCCAGGGGGTGGCAAGGGTTTTTTTTAGGGGTCCACATTTATACTATTGCAAAATTTTATTTCACACAAAAACTGGCTAAACGATACATTTTAATCTTAATCTTGTCATTATTTTTAATTTTAAAGTGAACTGAGAGCACACTTGGAAACTACAAAGCAAAAAAGCGTATTTAAAGTGGTTCTCTCCCCCGCTCCTCGGAGCTTACGAGCTTACGTTACTCACATTTCCTGTTCAAATTCTGCCATAGTTCTGAGATGGTTTTTAATAAGTTTTAGGGCAGAGAAACTTCTTTCACAAGACGCAGTACTGACAGGTATTAAAAAGATCTTTGCAAGCCTCAAAAGCTCATGAAACACTTTCCAAACGTTCCAAAAAGACAAGGAAGTCCAACAGGGACGCTCTAATCCATTTTTTCCGCCTAGTTTGACCTCATGCTTAACGTCCTCTATATCTGACTCAAAGGTTCTGCCAAATGAAAACAGGGGCTCTTCTTTCAAAAATGTTTTGGGGTCATGCGACTGCACATCATCCATAATCTTAGCTATTTTTTTTCTTTTTTTGTGTGTGAAAAAACGCCTTCTGCCAATAGACTTTCCTGCACCTGTCTGCGACACCCTCTCATTCTCTGAAACTCAATTATATAAGCTATATTTTACAACACAACAAATTCCTCATCATCATCATCAAAACATACTGCCTCCGAGTCTGACCTTCAGGT